TGAGTACCTTACTACACTTCTTCTCCTTTTTTCCGAAATACTGACACATCATGTTCTCACAATTATAATCAACAAATACAAGGATAAGAAAAATGTCCTCGTGGGAGATTTCAATTTGAATTTTATGTTTCCTAATAAAGATACCAGGGATCTAGTAAACCTACTTCGAATACAGGAAACAACAGCAACTTGCATTAACAACATTGTTATTACCTTTAGTAAAAATGATACTAAAACACAGACAGATCATCAATGACAAATTCTAAAATTTTGGATTCCAAGCTAGACAAATGTCAGATCTAAATATAAATTGCGTAAGGCAACAATTAGTAAATAATTTGGGTGACTTCAGAAGTATCCTAAGCGACTAAACTGCACCCGAAGCTGTCACCATATGTCATAAAACGCTTTTGGCAAATAGTGATAAATGGCTACCCATAAAAGAAAACAGAATTACGATAAACAAACAAAACAACATAGTAAGTAAAGTGAACATCCGCAGAGTTAATCAAGATGAAAAATCACCTTGAAGCACTCCACATCAAATCACGAGTGGAAAAAAACTGAAAACCTATATGAAGACTATAAAGACTACAAGAAAAGAAATGAAGATTTTAGTGAGATGTTAGTAATTGGTTGCTAAGCTGAAGCATATAAGCGAAACACAATGAATGCTAAACAACTCGATGGGATGTGCTGTACTGATGAGATCAAACAAGAACGAAACTGAAGTCTACAGCGTCCCAACGGGCTGTCTAGCCTTCGGTATGATTAATCACTTCGCAAATGAAGATTTTGTGAATAATGCAGCAAATAAACAAAAGACCATGTGGAAGATAATATCGCAAGAAAAGGGAAAATCAAGAAAGAAGAAAATTCAAATTCAACAGCTGAAGACTTGCACTTTTTTTTTGTGCAACTGTTGGAGAAACTACGGTAGCAAGTATTCCATTAAAAGTAAACATCACAGCAGAACAACTGCTGCAACAAGATAATTTTCTTGTTACTAAATCTTGTTTTCTTTTCGACACTACTGAAATCCGAAAGATTTTCAGCCAAATAAAACCGAAAAAAACTAAAAATGCTTTTGAAGTATCAACGAAATTTTTCAAAAGAACTGATGAACCGTTAAGTTTTATAATCAATAAATATTTCAATGATGGGTACTTTTCTGATGAACTAAAGATCTCAAGAGTCGTACCAGTTTAGAAAAGAAAAGGTAGCGTAGACTACTAAGATAACTACAGGCTTGTATCCATATTACCGTTCTTTTCAAACATTTTTGAAATGTCAATAAGGAATAAAATTGTCAATTTTTTATAGAAAAAAATAAAGTTTAAAAAGCATAGGAGCAGAACAACTACTCTCTTAACGATAACTGACAAGGTCGCAGATTCTAGATATGCTAAATTGTGATCTTAGCAAAGCTTTTGATTCTGTTCCACATGACATCCTGCTTAATAAACTGCAACACTACGGCTTCAGAGGAACAGTGGATACATTAATACAGGCGTTTCTTGACAATAAAAGCCAGAGAGTTTTCTGGAAGGGTAAATCATCGACAGAACTTGCAGCCAAGTGTGGTGTTCCGTAGAGTTCCGTGCTGGGACCAGTTCTTTTCATCATATATATAAATGACCTAAAAGTGAAGAACAGTTCGTCGAGTCTCTGCTGTGATGATAATCTTTACTCAATTGGGGTAAAACAATAGAAGAAGTAAAAGAAAAAACAGAACAAGTGGTTTACGGCGAACAACTTGAAGACGACCAACAAGAAAACACAAAGGCTTACCTTTCAGTATACAGCACAACATAAATCCGCAAAATTACTTGGCATTTTTCTGGGCACAAGACTCAATTATTGGACAATGCATATCGAGTACATCTGCAAGAAAATATATCCACAGCTATCTTCCTCTTACGCAGAATGAAACAAATAGGAATAAATCTGATGGCGACAACTGCATATTATGCAAGTCATCTCACCTATGGTATTCTTATATGGGAAAAGGATCCGAAATATTCAAAATATTTAAACTCCAGAAAAAAGCAGTCAGCGAACCTCCTGTAACCCATACTTTAGGCAGGGAAAGATACTAACCCTACCTTGCCTATACACCAACCAAAGACAACAAAAAATGGAGACACCTATGAATATAACACTAGATAGAAAGATGTCTTGACAATTCCAATACACTGCAAGCGATCCACCCACAATTCGTTCATTATTGGGTACCGAAAATGTACAACCTTCTTTCAAAGGAAATAAGAACGATAAATGACAGAGGGTTTGAAAAAGCCATAACTGCAATACTGATCGATAAGGCTTTCTACTCAGTCGAAGAATTTTTAATGTGTAAGCTGTAAGAGTTTTATATCATTTTTCATTTTATTGAACTTTGTATGTAGATATATAAATATGTAATAGATATGTACAATCGTTTCTCATTCATCATCACGACAGTCCATATAATTATTGATGGAAGTAAGACTAAACTTCCAACTTCTGGTAAATTTTACAATAATTCATCACTACACATGTCGCTTTTTTACATTTTAAGTACCTACGTACATTAAGTACCTACACTTGATGATTCATCTGGATATGAGTCGATTATCCCCACATTAATTTTAATATTAGGTAGAAGGCAATAATTGTTCAGACTTCTTAAGCTCACTAGATAGCTCAATTTTTTTATATGTATTTATAAAATAAAATAAAATAAAAAAAGTTGTGAGGCAAAACCAAATTTTTAATGATGAATTCGATTATTGGTGTTATGTTGTATAACAAAAAATATTTGGTTATTAAAAACACAATATTGATTTTCCTTGTAAAAATTTTATAGAAAATATAGGGAATGCGATACTATTTTTAACAAATAAAGATATATGCTGATGTCAAAACATGTAGTTGGCAACGTATTTAATTTAAATTAGTTCTGCATTAATTTAAGTTTTACTATCGTATTTATTATAATAGTCTAATATTATACATATTATATTCCAATCACGAACGGATGCCTATTATAAACTTATAACAACCTGCTACATATGATTTTCCCCCAGTTTTAAGCAACAAATATTTTAAATGTTATACCATTCTTTCATTTATGGTTTGAGCGCGTATAGAATAAAGTACGAACTAAAATTGCAAAGTTTTAAGTTATCATTAGTGGAGGAGAAAAGGTGTTTATTGATTTGAATATTCACATAGGGGAGGTGCGATGAAATTAATCCCTTTAAGCAAATTAATCAGTTTACTCCTTAACAAACAAAGTAACTCGATCAACTTTTTGTTAGCAAAAATTATACTTAATTAGCTTAGCGGTATACTTTGTGAAATAATATAAAACAACCATATAACTCCTACTGTAAGTAAAAATGATCCCTACCTCGAGGAAATAATAATACCAACGAAAATATTTTTAATCTGAGCATAAAAATATACTACAAATTACAACATTCCAAAAACTTTATATATGTACCTATACTTCTTAGGTACCTACATTACTCTAGCTTCTAGTGGTTTTTATTATAACACTGATGAACTTAGTACACATGTATTTAAACCCAAAGTTCCTCCATCTTATTAAAGATGAAACAAATTTATGTACTTTATTCTGCATATTTATTTTTTTTTTTTCAATTTTTTATTATAATTTAAGTTAAGTACGTATTTTTCTACACAAAATTAATGCTATTTTTAAACAATTAAATCCAACTTTTCTCCACTGAAACATAGAATCAGACTATACTTTATTGCCACTATAACGGTACAAATACACGTTCGTGCCTGAAATTATCGACTAAAGCAGAACAGAACATATAAATATTAACATAAACGATCAATTTAAATAAAAGCAAAACTAAACTACTAATGTCTTCCGTCGTTGAACAAATTTGTATTATTTTCATTAAAGTATTGTGTATCAACAAAATACTTAAACGGTCAAAATGTTGTCGAAACGGCATAAAATATGCGAAAACAGAACACCTGTCGGTTCACTTTTGAGTATTTTTCCGCAGAGTTATAATTACCCACTGATTATACCTAAAGTGTAATTATAGATGACTTTTTTGAGAAGATATTTGCATTCAGCTGCTTAGGTTGTTATAATTAGTAAAAGTCGAACGAAGATAGTTCAAATCTAAATGATTACCGCAGAGTTAAAAGCTGCTGATAAACACTGGGTTATAGGTGTGTCCTCGACCGATAAAGATAAATAAACGCAGTTTAGATAGGTCACCTTATTCTACTTTCCCCTACATGTAACAACACAAGCTCCTCGGAAAGTTTCATCTCGTTAACAAAAAGTTTCTTGTTCCTATATTGTTTCTTTGCCGTTTTTTTATACCGTTATCAATAGATGGATTTCTGTTTTTTTTTTTATTAGAACATGTAGGTACTTATTTAGTTAAAATTTTATATGCAACTTATAGTAACATGCTCTGGTAGACCATGAAATTTATTTTCGAAATATTAATGTTGACACCGCAGTTATTTAATCCTTTATTGGAATGGTGTTGCTAATATTGTTTTTAACTTAAAATTTCAAAGCTTGCTGGAGGACTTTTTTTCAGTTGTATGATTAGACTTTTGATACTTTTATATCTGCAACCAATAATACAGAGCTTATTCAATTCATCTTTCTTTCACAATTTAAACAAAAAACTTGTAAAACCTTGACATGAAGTAATGATAAATATTTACAAAGGAAACTACAGCACTTCCCATTAATAAATACCGGTGGTCCATATTAAAATATTATGTATTTTAAGTGTATTTTCAGTTATAAAATCGCAATATTTTAAACGACAATGAATTCATCTAAAATTTTATATTTTTGTTCCAAAATTATATGTAGTTTTAATATTTACAAACAACCATTTACACAATTATTAGGCAATGAACATTGTTATTTCCTTGAATATTTCAATCTGTCTGTAATGTGGGTTGCATAGATTGTTGCAAACTGTCAAGTTTGTTAACCTGTTGCCTAGGAAACTGTATGTACACAATAATTATTTAAATGTCAAGTTGTCATGTTAGTGCCGTTCCCCGAAGGCATTAGGACCGAATTATGTGTTTCATACCCACAAATACATTAATACAAGCCTGAACAATGCGTTCAATACCAAAATGGGCCGATAAAGTACAAGACAACGACAAGAAAGGCCAAACGTAAGTATAAACCTACCAATGCAAACTATCACGTATCTCATTAGTCGCCGGTAATTCGTAATTTTATTATCCCCTTTCCAGCATTTACGACTTATGTTTCAATCCAGAGGGTACACAGCTGATTGTAGCAAGCGGTAATCATGTTTTAGTTTACGATACTTGTGATGGTGGTCTGATCCAGACTCTAAAAGGTCATAAAGATAAAGTTCACTGCGTCTCATATGCGAAAAACGGTTTAAAATTTGCAAGTGGGAGCGCAGACAAAACTGTAATTATATGGTCAAGTAAACTAGAAGGTTTACTTAAATACAGCCACAGCGATTCCGTTCAGTGCCTTGTATTTAACCCATTATCACATCAGTTAGCCTCATGTGCCTTAACAGATTTTGCCTTTTGGAGCTCAGAGCAAAAGGCTGTGCAGAAACATAAAACGAATATTAAAATCAATGCTTGTTCATGGACTAACGATGGACAGTACTTGGCTTTGGGTCTCAACAATGGGGTCATATCAATACGAAATAAATTGGGGGAAGAAAAGGGCCGAATTGAACGTCCACAGAACCCAGCGATTTGGGCGCTTTCATGGAGCACGTACAAAGATGATCAAACTGACACTCTGTGTGTAACTGATTGGAATAAAACATTATCTTTCTACACTCTGGGTGGTAAATTAGTTGGTAAAGAAAGAAACATAGGGTTCGAAGCTTTAATGGTTTCCTATTTTCCCAAGGGCGAATATATTTTGATCAGTGGATTAAATAAAGCTTGTGTTATGTATACGCGCGATGGAATCAAACTGGATATAATTGGTGATCAACAAAATGCTTGGGTGTGGTGCTGTGCTGCCCATCCAAGTGGAAATTTTGTTGTAAGTTTAATAAAAGATTCTGATAAATAAGTTGTTTATGTTGTATTTACAGGTAATGGGGTGCCAAGATGGTACAATTGCTTATTATCAACTTATTTTTAATACTGTCCATGGACTGTATAAGGAGAGATATGCTTTTAGAGAAAATATGACGGATGTTATCATACAGCATCTCATAACTGAACAAAAAGTTAGGATTAAGTGCCGAGATCTTATTAAGAAAATTGCAATTTTTAAACACCGACTGGCGGTAAGTTTAATATAAATTTTATTTCAGGTGTTCAAATATAAAACTTATTTTTATAAAATTAACGATGAAATTACCGGTAATTTCGTTAAATATGAAAAAACGTGCTTTATTTTATAGTATGTATTCATAATTTAATAATAACTAAAAATGTTTGAAATATTTTCAAAATGAACTATGTAGAAAAAATCCTGAAATTTTTGAGAAATCATTTCAATACCTACCATTAGTACCATTATTTTGGCATCTCGCTCGTCGCAAAAACGCGACTATTAATGTCTTGATGGAGCCACTTAATGTTTTACTTTTTGCCTTTTTTATTTTTAGTGCCGGCGCCTGCGGCACTAAAAGTACTTTTTTGCTCCGCCGGCACTAAAAGTAATTAAAAACAATTTTTCACTTTGTTGATTCCGCAAAACTGTAGTAACGTGTCCACCAACTAACATAATTCTGAATTTTGATGTATGAATTTTAATTTTCGGAACAATTTGGAGCAGTTACAGGCGTTTAGAGAAAAAATTGCGTGTTTTATTCGAAGCCAAAGCCACTTTTTGTGGCTCATCTGCAATGTCTGACTCACGTCCTTCGTCCGACAACTTTGCACATTCGCACCAAAAAGTTGCTTTTGCTCCTAATAAAACAGTATACTATTAACCAATAAATATGAACATGCATGTTTGCCGTTGCCACTCGTGCTATTAAATTATCTGTAAGGAAAAAGTATTAGTACCGCATGAGATGCAGGCAATGTATTTAAGATTTGCGTTCTCAGTATATGAAATTTCTGCACTTCAAACACAGAATTGAGATAAGGAGGGTGGGCGGGGCTTACATTTTGCTTTTTTTCTTAATATACAACAAGAATCTTACAACATGGTTAAAATGGTACATTTTTGCAAAAAAATGGATTTTGCAATTATGAGGCGGAGCCTAATTGCAAAATCAATATTTCCTTCCTTACACAAATTTTCCATTTTAAACATGTTTTAAGTTTAATATTGTGAAAAGAAATCTACACATGTTAAAATAACAAGGCAAAATGTAAGCCCGCCCACCCGCCCAATCTCAATTGTGATGATTTATTTATTCGCCGTGAACCAAGGGGGCGGAGTTTAACTGCAAAATACTTATTTCTTTACAAGAAAATAAAAACATGTTTTTCAGTACCGTGTTGAAAAAAAAATTTCCGCCCACCCACTCTATCTCAATTGTGATGATTTTTTTATTCTTAGAAACTTAAGGCACGTTTAAAATGGTAAATTCTTGTAGACAAATATGGATTTTGCAATTAAGCCCCGCCCTTCGATCTGACAACGAATAAAAAAATCATCGCAATCGAGATAGGGTGGGTGGGCGGGGTCTACATTTTGCCTTTTTTCTTAATATGTGTAATCATCTTTTCACAGCAAGAAACTTAAAACATGTTTAAAATGGTAAATTTATATAGGGAAATATCGATTTTGTAATTATGCTCCGCCCCTCGGTCTGACAACGAATGAAAAATTCACGATTGAGATCGAGGCAAAAAGCCCAAAATGTGAGCCAAACACAAAAACATGAATCTATCACAGCTCACATCACGTTTGAAAATACATAGATTTATAGTGCAGTGATTTAAAATGCCTTTTCGAAAACCAAAAAGTCGCTAAGTTTAAAATGTGGCCAAAGTGTGTCCTACCGCTAAATAAAACACCAAATGTATGTAGGACACAAAATTATTGATTCTTCCACTGACAAAAAAAGAAAAAAAAAGCTGCGACTAAGTTGTGCAGGTTGAAGACCTTCTTAGTGCTCAGCTACAAAAAAAAAAAAACTTTCCAAACTTTGAATGAAATCAAATTAAACGTTCTGAACCAATGCAAATATTTGAATATCACAAATTTAATAAAAACAAAGCAAAATCTGAAGTAAAGTAACGGGATGCAAATACACAAGTTATTACGGACGTGTGGCGGCAAATTTAAATTATGGCAGTCAACAAGAGAACAAAATTTTAAATAAAAACTATACAGCGGCAGCGACATCAGAGCGCTATAAGAGTGGGGCGATGAACTATTTTGATGTGTTTCTAGAGCACAGCAAAATTACCCATAGGGGACGTTGTAGCACGAGCGGAGTTTGGGGCTCCCGGTTGTGGCTGTTCTTCCACCGGAACCGTGATTCTATTCTATCGACAAGCACTGCCGCCCAGTACCCCTCTATCGAACGAAGAAACGTGCCGCGCTACCTAGGCCGTTATGGTTGAAACTCGTGGTTGGAGATCACGGCTATAAATAAGCCGACAGCGTCATGTCATACCGACCGCTCCTGACTTCTATTCAAAACCTGCATCTTTTGGCCGCCAGCTCGACAAGGAACCGCGCACTCCGCTTCCGCTACGTGTTTCTGTGTTATTTAACCTCAATTCCATTTAAATGTTCAATTTCTATACTCTGACATTAAACTACAACTGAACAAGTGTTACAGTATCAAAAGGGCAATAAACAACATTTAAATTCGCCATACACTCTTGTGAAATTTGAAACAGCAAAGAATTCTTATCTGAGATTAAGATTGGTCAGCAGACAATTTTATGATGGAAGCATTAATCAACAAAATATTTACAAACAAAAAAAACTAGCTAAGATTTATAAAAACAAAAGGTCTGGTGTGAAATAAAACTTGTGCAGACAAAAGAAAATTACCTGAGGTTAGAAACTGCCGAGTATGAAAATTTACGTTCAATTTAAATTATACAGCAGAGAAAGTTATTGACGCTAAAATTCTGAGATAGAGAAAATTGTATGAGGTGAAAAATTGCAAAGCTAACAAAACTACGTGAGGTTAATATTTTATGTCCATTCGAGTTATTGGTTCATTTTTTAAAAAGTTAAGTTATTCAGCTGCATTGTGGATCATTGTTATACATTGCCGCAAACAAACAAACACAAAAATAAACATAGTAGGCAATCTAGAGGTCCAAAATGGCGTCGGACGAATGCGTCGTTCAAAGAAATGCGTCAAAAATATGTCTCCCACAAATGTCATCAATCCTGTGGTCTAACTCAAAGGAATAAAATGCATGTCCCGCAATGTTGTTAATTTGTTTAGTGACATTTTACAATTCAAACATGTGCTCGGTTTGAAAATACGCTTTCAACATGGCCGCTGCCAGAACGAAGAATTTGGCAGATGTTAAATTATGCCACACTTTATCAACGATTCAAACAAAGAATTTACGTTATATGAAATTTTGCCTTGATCCAACTGCTTGGTTACTTAAAACAATTAACTTTGAGAGTTTATATCGTGGACTGTCCCCAGGTCATCCCAAACAAAACACAAGATAAATCAACAACACAAAATGTATCATGCCTTGCGAGGTATGGGCGTCTCGGTGGTGTAATTTTTCATGTGATGATAATAACGATGATAACTACCTAAATATAATTATAATCCCCCCCGTACCTCAGTGCACGATATTAGGAATTCTATCGTACTTTCTACGGTCTTTTCCAGAGTGGGGCAACGTTAGGTTAATTTAACTGCCGCAAATGAAATATTAGCAATCTTGTGTGAGGAATTAAGTTACATTATAACACTTACGTATAAGCATCCAGAAACGTTATCTATAATTAGATAAACAAAAGGTGAATCCTGACAAAGTGAATGTCATGAAAACTCCCCCAAGTGCTCTGTCTGAACAAATCCAATGTCTCTTAAATTGTGTTAGAACTAGTTAACGATTAAAATCCTGACATGAGCTGTGAATTTACAAACAATAAAACAAATTTACAACACGTGTTAGTGTCGTCGAAAATCCACATTTATTTCCGCTTGGAAAAACCGCAGGAATTAGTTACACGATAATAAATAAAATAATCCAGAACTTTTAGATACATCGTTAATTTAAAATAAGTTGAGTCTAAGTAAGTGAATTTCGGTCACCTGTTGTACAGGAACATTTTCCATGATTGTATTGTGTGCCGGAAACGCTAGAAAACACAAGAAAAAAAATGAAAAGTAACATTTTTGAAGTTTTTGAACAATTTCTTTGAATCTACAAACGCCAGAAAGTGGGAAAATATGCCCAATCGTCATCTTTTCGCAAAATAAGTCGTCATCACGTTCAGAATTGTCAAAACAAGTCGAAATATAGTTCAGAACTTATGGAGTATTGTATCGATGTACATACATTGTATTAGAACAGTTAAAATCTTGAGATGAACTGTGGATTTACAAACGATAAAACAAAAATTGCACATATTTGTGGTATAGTCAAACTTTTACACATTTTAGATTAGAAAATAAGTTAGTCTTACGATAATTATTAGGGTGGTTGAAGGGAGACGGTGGCGTCGAACGCGATTAATTTTTGTTTAAACAATTGCCCTTTTATGAAATTGCAGACAATATTCTACATACCAATACTGACTACCAACCTCCAAGGTGGCATTCACTAATTCCCTAAACGCTCTAAAACATAAAAACATGGTGATTGTCCATGTTATTGAATGTTTTTATTTTTTAATTTTTCAAATGCAGTCTTGTGGCCTTTCCAACTCAAGACATCACAGCACTGAAGATAAGAATGTTCAATGTTTTTCTTTTTAATTTCCGTCTTTACTAGTACGTGCTGAAAAAACTGATAATTCATTAGGTATATAACATATAATAAACAGAAGCAATCGCAGAAGGGATCCCTGAGGCACAGAAAAATTTTATTTCACATTAACCACTAACTTTCTATCACTCGTATAAGAAAATTATCCAGTTTAACACAAAACTTCTTAGTTACGCATGAAAGGTATATTTAAAATACGTATTAAACGCACGCAATGGATTGAAGAACATAGCCATCTCATATCCCGCATCCTTTTTTGAGTAGATCAGTAACAGCTGTTTCCGTCGATCTCGGATCTCGGTATAGTTTTTGTTCTACCCAAAGGGATTGAAAAGAATAGATGTAGGTTATAAGGAATATGCAGGTGTCTCAGTTAAAAGTCAACGGCCTTATTATCTTGAGAACTGATAGATATATTGAAATTCTGTAAATGGCATTGTTTTTAGCTTGAAGGGGAACGCTTAATTTAGTACATTTAGTTAAAAAAAAAATATGCGTTGTAAATTAAAGTACATATAGGTTTGCATCGCAATGCCGACGCCATATGTGCATCATATTTTGTGATGTACTAAATTAAACTTTCCCCGTTAAGCTAAAAGCAATAGTGTCTACATAATTCAAAAATCTCTATTCGTTCTCAAAATAGAAAGCCGGGAAGTTTTAACTGGGACACCTGTATAGACCTACATAAAAAAAAGTCTTTGCTTCTGCCCGATTGTTACCTAACTTATTACTTTATCTTTTTTTGTCGCGGTTTTTATACTTCTTTTCTCGATTTTTTATCGTGTTTTTTGTATTGCTTTTTTTTTAACTTTTTCACTCATTTTTTCAGTCGCATTTTTGGCGCAATTTTTTGTCGCGTTTTCTTGTCCCCTTATTTTATTGCCTTTTTTCTGCGTCGCTGCATTTTTGTCGTCTTTTTTATTGTTACTATTTTTGACCTCTTTTTTAATCAAATTTTTTTACCCCCAAGCAACACGCGATATATTCACAGCAGAGCAGTGATCGCGATGTTTTTTCTCATTGGTTCATTTAGCACCTATTTATGCATAGAAAACGCGGAGCTTGCAAGAATTTATTAAATTATTAAGTACAAGTAGGCACATGATAAGTATAATTCCTTCAGTATAATTCGATTTTGAACGCTTCTATGTAATGAGAGTTGTCAAGCTTTTATAATTGTAATTACTAGGTATAAGGTACGTGATTGGAAACAAGGCTTTACGCTCTTAAGATATTATTGCTGGTAAAAATTGTTTCAACAATTTGAAAACGGCATATACATCAAAATTTTTAAAAATGTTTTTCCTCCTGAAAAATGTAAAAAACAGTAAGACTTAAATGCAGAGACGTTTCTTAGAAGCAATATGTATTTTCACAAATCTCAAATTTCATTTTCTTTTTCCAAAAAAATTCTTAAACCATTGAAAATATTTCAAAAATTTTTATCGATTATTAATTGCCTTAAAAGTGCACAATTTTATCTTACCCAAATGCGACCACTCGTTTAGGATTTAAGTGTTGCATTATTTTGGCACAAGGTGACACTTGAGAAAAATGTTTGATTGGCACTTCTGTTTTCCGGAATCATTAACGTTTAGCGTTTTTCAACTGATTTATGGTGTTTATAAGAAATTTCACGTCATAAATAACAATAAGATACTATGAAGATACCCTATAACGTCGAAAATCAGAAGAGATATCGCAGAATGTTAGTTGCGCAATCGAAAACTTTTTGAATTGCAGTAGGCCACTACATACTACGTGTAAGATGTTTGCCTGTCAGACCTATCATTTAACAGCACAATGATATAATATTTGGATTATACATAAAATGTTTTTCATAATGAATAAAAAGTAGTGAGATTTTTGAGATAAAATGTTTCCATTACATTTAGGTACAACTTCCTGAACGAGTGATCATTTATGAATTATACTCGAACGATGCAAATGACATGCACTACAGAGCTAAGGAAAAAATTACACAAAAATTGGATTGTAGTCTTCTGGTGGTGTGCACTGAACATTTAGTAGTGTGTCAGGAGAAAAAACTACAAAGCATGTTTTTTTCTGGTCAAAGCGAAAAAGAATGGAATTTTGACAGCTCCATTAGATACATTAAAATCATAGGAGGGCCACCTGGAAAAGAGGGCTTAATTTTAGGCCTGAAAAATGGGCAAGTAAGTATTTGATTCACCTTTAAATGTTAGTTATTTTTTTATGGTAAAAAAGTATAAATAAAATAAAAATTTTTACAAGGTATGGGAAGTACATCTAGACAACATTCACCCACTGCTTAAAGTAACAGTCAATGATGGCATTCGTTGTTTGGATTTAAGCCAGAAGAAACAGAAATTGGCAGTAGTAGACGAAACAGGGCTGCTACAAGTCTTTAACGCTAAAACCGGCGAATTGCATTATCAAGAACCAGGCACAAACAGTGTAGCTTTTAATAACTTATACGAAGACATGGTTGCCTTTAGCGGAAACAGTTCTTTGGCCATTAAGGTACTTGATTTCCCAGCGCATCGCCAAAAAATGATGGGATTCGTTGTGGGTCTGTCAGGGGCGAAAGTTTTCTGCCTGAACGGATCGTCAATGGTAACGTTGGAGTTACCTTTAAGTGCACCAATGTATCAATACATTGACAAAAAAATGTTTGCTGAAGCTTACAGAGTCGCTTGCTTGGGTATTTAGTCAGTCTTTCTGTGTGAATTTTTATTTTGGAGATTTTTGTGTAGGTGTGACAGATGGAGACTGGGATGAACTTGGTCAGGCTGCCCTTGAATCACTCGAGTTTGAAATAGCCAGATTGGCATTTATTAAATTGCAAAATTTTTCGTATCTGGAACTCATTCAGGATCTACAAGTAATATAGGGTTTTGTGGATTTTTGATATGGGTACTGACGATGTAAATTTCAGGAACAATTGAAAAAAGGCAATGTTACTCGTGAGTCAATGATTGGAGATATTTACGCCCATAGGGGGAAACTGAAAGAGGCTGCACGGTTGTATCAAAAGTCGGGACAAGAACATAAAGCTCTTACAATGTACACTGATCTAAGGATGTTTGATTTGGCACAGGTAATTATCAAAATCCAGTAAAAAGTACATATATATGCCGCATTTTTTCCCTGCGTGGTAATATTACTTAAAATATTATGAGACGATACACTTGTGACCTTAAGTCACTTTTAGGAATATTTAGGATCCAGTGATAACACCGATTTAATTCGTCAAAAAGCAGATTGGGCTCGAAATATTAATGAGCATAAAGCAGCTGCAGAAATGTATCTTTCTGTGGGTGATACTCAATCAGCCATTGATATCTATGGAGAAAAAGGATGGGCCGACCAGTATACACTTATTTTTTTTTTATTTTCCAATCTTGTTATTTGTGACGTTATAGATTGATAGAGTTGGGAAGACGTTTAGACAAAACCGACAGATCGGCCTTATTATCAATCGCTGAACATCTAAAACGCCTAAATCAAGCTTCATTTGCCGCAGAAATTTATCGTCGTTTAGGCGATTCAGCCGCTGTTCTACACTTGCATGTGGAAGCGAAAGAATGGGCGCAGGCTTTTCTATTGGTCCAGAATCAGCCCCAGTTTAAAGCTCTAGTTTACGTACCGTATGCCCACTGGTTGGCAGAAAATGATAAATTCGTGCAAGCCCAAAAAGGTTGGTCTGAATATCTAATATTTTTTCAAAGTGAAATTTTCCGTTTTTAGCGTTTTATAAGGCTGGCAAACCCGAAGAAGCATTTAAAGTTCTGCAGCATCTTATAAACAATGCTTTAAACGAATGTAGGTTTCAGGATGCTGGATACTACCACTGGTTAGTATCGCGACAGTTTTTAGATCTGGCAAATACAAAGTAAGTAGATCATTTTTTGAATATTTTTTCTTGAAGTGCACTTGTAATACACACACAAATTGTGATAGTCGAACAAAAAAAAATCAAACTGAGTGAAAACAAACTACGACGTGGGGACACAGCGACAGCGTCGAGAGACGTTTTCTCGTGAGGGTCTCGCCAGCTAGACGGCCTGATTATAGTGGCGAAAATCCGGTATTACAGATAAACATTCACAGGAACAATGACAAGGGGAGAAAAGCTATCGCGAGTTTTTCTCTATTAAAATTCAAATTTCGCGATATTTTATATTAGCACAATAGGCACATATTATGCGATTAAAATTAAATATAAGGTGGTCTCAGAAAACACTCAAGCTATAAGAAATCATTCAACCTATAAGAAAATATTAAAGCCTCCCGTTTTCGAGTCCACGATGATATTCATTTAACAGAAAATAACTTTCGAGTGCTATCTCTCAAAATGGATCAATGTGCGAATAATGAACTATTTTAAAATCTCGAGGGAGTTATAAAGTATGAAAACGTAATGGTACTTATTAAGATAAGACTGATTTTGCAAATGACATACCTTCTAAGCAAATAAAGGGCGGGTGGGCGGGGCCAAAACTTGCTAAGTTAAAACTGATTTTCGCATATGACATACCCTTTGAGAAAGTAAAGGGCGGGTGGGCGAGGCTAGTACTTGTTAAGTTAAGACTGATTTTGGCATATGACATACTCTTTGAGAAAGTAAAGGACAGGTGGGCGGGGCTAGTATTTACTAAGACAAGACTAATTTTACCAAATGACATACCTTCTGAAATTAAAGGGCAGGTGGGCGGGCCTAGTACCTGTCAAGATGAGACATATTTTGGAAAATGAACCCTCTAAGAAAAAAAAAGATGAGAGTTTAATTTACTTGAACTCTACAACTTGATTTTTTCAGAATAATTTTGCTTCACAGGGAATCGAATTATTATAATAAAACAAACTAAGTAACTTTAAATATCGTTACTAAGGTGAGTTAAGCCAGAGTGAGAGAATTTCCGCCACCTGTTTTATATCTATAAACAGTCATATTATTGTAGTTAAATTGTATTGTATTAGAACCATGAACAGTTAAAAACTCCTGACGTGAACTGTGAATTTACAGAGACAAAAACACACGTGCATTTCGCAAATTAACTTTAAAGTGCAAAACCGAAATTTATCCGTTTATCCCCTTCCAAGAAACTAATGACGTCATGTCAAAAATTTTTCGAAAAAATGTTATTAAACGTTTATAAAATAACATACTCCTGTACTTGTGGTTTATGAATCCGTGTTGAATTTTTACCCTAAGCATCCAGATTTTTGAAAAAAAATCAAAATTGTGTAACAACATTTTACATTTTATATTTTAACTTTTAAATTGGAAAAGTAAGTGCTTTGAAATCTTACCAACGTTTTGAGGTTATAGGAAGCATGGTAAAGAGTTAATGAAAATTGGGTTGCTTATGCCCCCCCCCCCCTCATTGATGAAGTCATCTTACAATTTGACCGAATAAATGTTTAAGCTTTACTTATTTAAATACTTGTAAATGTGCGGGCATGAGTCAGTTGCGCCCCTCGGTCAGAAAAATTTGCAAGTGGTCCGAACCCCAACTGACAGCTGCGCGCAGCGGTCACAAATCGGTACTAAAAATTAGAGTGCTAATGCCTCCCCTCCCCCCGAATTGATGAAGTCATCTTACAACTTGACCGAATAAACTTTACTTATCTAAATAGCATACTTGTGAATGTGTGGGCATGAGTCAGTTGCGCCTCGCGGTCAGAAAAATTTGCAACTGGTCCTAACACCAACGGACAGTTGCGCGCAGCGGTCAGAAAGCTTTGCATAATTTGCAGGGTTTGTAAAAAAATATATCAAAATTGTTTAACAACACTTTACAATTTAACTTTGGAAACTGAAAACCGAATGGTTCGAAAATTCGCAAACGTTTTAAGGTTATCGTAAACGTGGCAAATCTTCATCTTCACCTTCCATTCATTTTGATGACATCAACGCCAAATTTTACCCAATACACCCTATCTAAAATATACAAAACATCACGAATTTCATGACTCTATGTGCTTGTGGTTTATCAGTGCATTTATTTTTTTGTATTACATAGAGGTTATCGCAAAAAATGCATTTTTTTTTTTTTAAGAAGCTGGGTTTGTTAGACTACATTTCAAGCGCGAGGAAAGTTCTGTCGAAATAACCTTCAACCAATTTTTTTTACGAAACGAAAAATAGTACCATATTCTAGAATCTAGAACTTTGGTATAAACCATTTTTATTAGTTGATTGATTTATTATTTTTTTAATAGATTTATAAACAATTCCAAAGAATGAAATATTTATTTATTCGTTTGTTTTTCAGGAGGCAACGAATAAATATATTTTATTTGTTATTCTGTAATCAATAAATCAATCTTGCCAAAGAGAATCGTTTCGTGGATTCTAAGACAAACAGTTTATTTTAAGATATATTTAACAACATTTTAAGATGACGTCATCAAACTTTTGGAAGCGATGTATGTACAGTTGAATTCTGATTAGCGATTTACCTTGTTAGCGATAACATTAGAGTGTCCGTTTCTTAATTTAGCTGTATAATTTTGTTGTTCAATTTTGTTTTATAGGATTTACTTTGCAAAATTTTGAGATGACGTTATCATCTTTTTGGAAGGGACGAACAGATGAATTGTGATTAGCGATTTCTCAATTACACGATACTTCTAAAATTTCAGAACAATCAGTCGAGTAGTTTGAGAGAGTGTCCACCTAATAAAGTTTCCAACAGATATATTCTAGTAGTTATGAAACGTCGAGGAAACATTCGTCACATGGGCCCTATTACAATATTTTCCTACCATACTCTGGATAAGTAAAAATTAGCAATATGACTCGCCTCAAAAATTCTTAAGGGCATTTCAAATATGCTATAACATTTTATATTTTTTTTATTTCTGGTTAAATCCATTCATCAAAGTTATGGATTTAACTTATGAGTTGCAACAAATATTTTGAATTTTTTTGTTAAGTATTGGCGTGGATTTGGAGATTACAAAATATTAATTAGAACTTATTTGGTCGTCTATCACTTAAAGCTGATAACGTCATCTCAAAAAGACATTCTTTCACATAAACATTCACTCAGGAAATTATTTACATACGATGTTTCAAAAATATAAATGTACTTATTAACTAAATTTGTTCCTAATTACCTTAAAACGGCTCACATGATTGAAATTTTGAGAAAATGTCAGTAAGGTCATAATTAGTGTACTGTTATATCTACATATCTGTATATCAAATTCAGTATAGGTACTTATCCCCGCCAAAAATTGTATGACACCATTCCAAAAAACGTTGTTTTAGTAACTTTTTCTAGACTTTTTAAACGACATTATAGTAAATTTTAATTTTAGCACTGATATTCAAAACGAATACTTGACGAATCATGTAGTAAATGAACGACTAGCAGCAATTTATTATGCTTTTCATGCAGTTCATCGATATTTAGAAGAACCCTTTACGTCTTATATGCCCGAAGCGCTTTTCAACATAGCACGATTTTTAATGACTGAAACCAGCCAAAATAATCGCCCTAAAGGAGTTTCATTGTTGTATCCTTTTCTTAAATGAAAAAAATTAAATTATACATGAGATGAGAACCAGGATAGATATATTTCCTTAATGTAAGTAGTGCAATTCTGTATTGTCTGTCGAAACAGGCACGAAAATTGGGTGCAAATAAATTTGCCAAACAAATCTTGGACAGAATACAAACTCTCATAATACCGCAGAAGTTCCAAGAGCAAGTAGAAATTGCAACAATAGCAGCCAGAGCTCGGCCTTACAGTGACCCAGAAGAGTTACTGCCAATGTGTTATCGTTGCTCCACGTACAACCCTTTGGCCAGCGTAAGTAATCTATGCGTGAATTGTGGACAAAAATTTGTCCACTCGTATGTAAGTTTTGGTAAGAAGTAGCACCCCATTTCTTGATTTTCAATCAACATGTATTTGAATTCAAGAAATTTTACCGTTGGTGGAATTCGTCTTGCAAGAAGATATATCAGATGTTGAAGCAGTCAGGCTGATTGAAACACCCCCCAGTGAAGCGACAAAAGGAGACAATTGGAAACACCATGTTACAGAAAGTCACGAAACATTACAGTTAGATATTGATAATGAAGAAAAGGATCCATTTACAACTAGACTGAGTTCTTTTGAGGTATAACGATTTTTAAACTATGCTTTTATTAACTTATGACGTTTAAGGCTGGTGATGGAGATGGAAGTTTCTCCCCTGTTGTTGTAAACAGGAAAATTCTCTTGTCCATGGATAGCACTTCTGTGTTAATATGTAAATGGAATCCACCTTTGAGATACCAATTTTATAAGAATTTATTACCAGAACTTCAAATAATGATGTGTTATTCGTGCTTTAAGGTATACGTTTTAAAGTTTTATTTTAAATGTTAATGTTTTATTATCGTAGGCATTCCATGTTGACGATTTTGAGTTACAGTTATTGCAAAAGGGATATTGTCCGTTTTGTAGGGCTTTGCCAGAAAATTCGTTAAATAGTGATTTATGTGATGATCTGTTAGTATAACAACACTTTAGATGTTGCTTAGAGCTTTAAAATATCCGTCCTGTTACATTGATGAATAAAAAAACTATTTATTCATACTTGCTGTGTTTTATTTATTTTTTCATATCGCTTCACACTTTTCATCATAGTTTCATTATAAAATTGCGTTCCAGTGAATAGTTTTTATAAAATTTATTTAAAATATCGTTATAAATTTCAAAATTTCGCGCCGCACTAGAGGTCGCCACATGCGCTATGTTTTCCTTGTCCGGCTGTCAACTCCGCCATTTCGTTCTTTCCCAAAGATTGTTGTTCTAGGTGAGTACAATTCCTGAGTTATAAAGTGAAATAAAGAAAAATTGAGTAAATTGGAAACTAGTTGATTCAAATTCAACTTTCGTATCAGTTGTATAACGTGATTTATGTGGCCACCAGACAGTAAAGCAAAGAAAGTGTAAAATTCGAAAAATTAAACACGTGGTTCGCAGATTCTGGTAAACGTTACTAATATAAATTTTATTTCAGGAAACACGATGTCTTCTCATTTAGTTTGGAGCATCATCCGCAACAATAACGCTTTCCTTCGAAAGAAGCGTAACATTAATAAACCATTCAGTACTGTAAGTACGTATTCTTACTGTTAATTATTTTAAATCAATTCTTTATTGAATACTAAAATGATGATATTTACCACCAAGATCTCCGAAAGTTGTGACGATGATTATATTAGAGACTGAAGTGTAATAAAAAAATATAATTAAAAGTACTTTGGGAATCGAGTATTTACACATTATTTTGTTTCAGGAACCCAACAATCTGACAAACTTAAGTTCTTACAGATACAATGGTTTAGTACATAAGAAAACTGTTGGCGTTGTGGATGCCCCCGACAAGAAAGGGTTTACTGTTGTGTACAAAAAAGCAACCAAACAGGTAAATATTTCAAATTAAAGTTGGATTACAATTATTATCGTCATTTTAGAATAAACCAAGACAATGCATTGTTAAAAGGACCATGAAGTCAGGACCTAGAAGGTCGTTGGCTAAGTTGGAAAGGCTTTTAAAAGCCAATAAGTACCGAACCGATTTGACTAAGGTATTTGTAATGGATTTTAGTTACAGTTGTAACAAGTTTTGTTGTTGCAGGCTGCCCTTCGCAGAGCCAGTGCTGTTTTAAGGTCACAGAAACCTTTGCCCGCCAAGAAGCAAAAAGCAAAGAAACAAGAATAATTAACTTGTTTAAATAAACATTCTTTACTATATCCCGAGTTTTATTATGATTTTAATTACAAAAAAAAAATAATGCGTTTGTTACCTGATATTAGATAAGGCACTTTGAGTAGAGTACTACTTAACCTCAAAATACACGCACATTTAGAACTATTAGTGTTTATTGTAGTTGTGTGAATAAAAGCAACACATTTCATTAAAATGGCATCAGTTGATCATTTAGCATCGTCAGACTTCATTAAAACAGTGCATCAGCGTCTAAGAGATGAATCCAAAATATCGGGAGTTGAAGAAGCATGGAAAAAGCACTGCCAGGATGAAGAAAATTTAAAGAAATATGCAGCAGCAATGCATAACTTGGCTGAAAACCACTGGGAAAACAACTACAAAATAAATTCGAAGCCCACCTCTAGAATTGCTTGGGTGCACCAGTTTTGCCAAATTTATTTTATAGAAGAGGAATTGCTGAAGTACAGACAACGAGAAAACGAAATTGCAGACAAAATAAATTTAAAAATCGGTGTTGGTGTTGGTATCAGTACTATAAACAAACAGTGTAGACTTTTAGATGTCGGCAGTTGTTACAACCCTTTTCAAAAATACACTTGTTTTGATGTTCTTCCAATAGACATTGCGCCTGCTATAAGTGGTGTTTACAAATGTGACTTTATAAACTTACACATAACACTGAGTGCTTCTAGTGTACATGATAATTTAGAAATAACTGAATTACAACAACAGTCATTTGATGTAGTTGTTTTTAGTTTGTTGTTAGAATACTTACCCTCACCACAACAGAGACTACTGGCTTGTAAAAACGCTTACAAATTACTGAAGACAGAAGGCATATTGTTTATAATAACTCCTGATTCTAAGCACGTCGGAGCGAATACAAAAATCATGAAGTCGTGGCGCTTTTTGTTAGCAAAAGAGGGTTTTTCGCGTATTAAATATGAAAAATTGGCACACTTACACTGTATGGTATTTCGTAAATGTTTGAGTCCAGAAATTTCTCAGCGATGGGCCACACTGCACAAACAAGAAAATTTCTACAGCGAGTTTGTAATTCCACAAGATTTCAAACAAACTAAAAACAGCACCACAATGAGCAACGTAGCTTGTGAAGCAAGTTTATTCGATGAACTTCCAAATTTCTTTGAATAACAATAAACTATTTTTAAGAGTATCGAGTTTTAAAATTGCCCGCCTGTAAACAATGTCCCCAAAAAAATTTTAGTGTAAAGTGAAATTCACTACATTTCTGAAAAAGTATGACAGTTGCAGGAAAAGGAGTGTTGATGGTTGTGTTGGGTTTGACATTACAATAATTTTATGGTTGTGTTTTGTGTAATGATGAAAGAATAAATGAGTGATTCATAACTTAAGTGCTTTTAATTGCTGTAAATAATTATATTATTTTATTAGCCTCAAAATGTCACTGAGTGCAAGTGCGGAGAACTTAACGTTTGAAACACAGGTGTGTTATTATTCCATGTTTTCCTTTTAAATTTGAATTGAATGGTCTAGAGAAGTAAACGTTCCAGGAAAGCTTTCGTCATTCTTGTTGAAACAACGTAAATATTGCACGTTGCGTCGTTTTAAAAATATTTCATATTTCAAGGATTATGATGGATCAAGCAATATGTGCTTAGAACTTGCCCTGGAAGGTGAACGTCTGTGCAAGGCAGGAGACTGCAGGGCCGGTGTGGCATTTTTTCAAGCTGCTATTCAGGCCGGAACGGACGATTTACGAACATTAAGTGCCATTTACAGTCAGTTGGGAAACGCATATTTTTATCTAGGAGATTATGGAAAAGCGATGCAATACCACAAACACGATCTAACTTTAGCCAGGTTTGGGGATTTACTCTATTGTATAAATCGTAATAATCAAGTGCTTTTTTTAGAACTATGGGTGATAAACTGGGCGAAGCTAAATCATCGGGAAACCTGGGTAACACTCTTAAGGTAATGGGTAGATTTGACGAAGCTGTAGTGTGCTGTAAACGGCATCTAGAGCTTTCAAGAGAATTAGGAGATAGGTTAAGTGAAGGTCGAGCTTTATACAATTTAGGCAATGTGTTTCATGCTAAGGGGAAACACATTGGTCGAGTGGGACATAAAGACCCAGGAGACTTTTCTGATGATGTGAAAGGATGTCTACAGCAGGCTGTTAGTTATTATGAGTAAGTTACTTGTGTAATATGTTCATTTAATAAGTGTTTTTCATTTCACCCTTGACTAAAAGTAAAAATTTTCTTTACAGAATAGTAGTTTGTTATTCTAATATGGATTGAATGATTGTTTAAAGTTTAACATTATGAATGAATGACATTCTTTTATTGGCGGAAGGAACTAAAACCACAATGTTATCCATTAATGTAGTATGTAAATGTACTAAAATAAAAGACAATGCACAATGATATAGAAAAGTTATGTATATGGGTTTTTCATGTATCACTCTTTGCGTTTTAACTATTTTAAAATTTATGGACTACCGACCACTTGGTATACATACATTTTGATTCACAAATTTTTAAAGCATTTTCTGTAAAAAAATTCTAACTAAGGGCGTTTTTCAAAATGTATTGACCATGTGAACCACACTAATTTATTCTACTTATAATTTTTGAAATTTATCCTCAAATTGTTTTTTTTTACTGAGTGCACATGAAAAACTCGTATTTAAAAAAAATAAATTTAATAAATTTAATTGCTTTTTTAAGGGAAAATTTGTCCTTAATGAAAGAACTAGGTGACGTTGCTGCACAAGGAAGAGCTTGTGGAAATTTGGGCAATACATTTTATTTGCTGGGAGATTTTGCTCAAGCCATACATTACCATGAAGAACGGTTATCAATTGCGAGGCAGTTTGGAGATAAAGCTGCTGAAAGACGGGCACATAGTAACCTGGGAAATTCGCATATTTTTATGGGACAGTTTGAGGAAGCGGCTCATCATTACAAGTAAGAAATGATTCTGTTTAAATGTAGGCTGTTCATACGCACATGCACTAAACCATTCATTAATTCCTGTAATAAATTTACAAAATTCGCGTTAATCTTTTACTTCCCGAGCGTGAGCTACAGAACGCTAGAGTGGGAAAGAGTGGGTCCGCATTTCCGCCTGCGTCTCGGTCTGTCTCTGTGTCACTTTTTATTAGACAGATTTTTTTTTGTGAGAATCCTTATAAGTTTAAGTAAAAATAGTAGTAAATTATTAAACTGCAGGTAAATAAGCATGGTGTGCGTAAATTTTTTCTTACGAAAATTTTATGATGACATGATGATATTTAAACAACTTCCCTCGCATCTGAGGCTAAACATTCAAACAAATTCAATGTCTTAGAAAAAGAAAAATCTTAACTCCCGCGTGCACACTATTCGAACCCTTTATCTCACACGGCCACGTTGCATATATTTCGGAGGTGCGTGAGATATCGGTTATATGAAACGTGGAGCGAATATTGCGTAAAGTAATAATTGTGATTAAAACTCAAAACAAGTGGATTCATAAAGCACAAATGTAGGAGTATATTGTTACGTAACACTTAAATAATTTTAATGTAGAAACTTTAGATGACGCCATCAAATTGTTGGTAGGGAAAATACACACAGATGGCAGATAGACATACAGACGGACGGAAACCGAAAACCTATTTTTTCGTATTCTAGGGGTCATGAAACTTGGAGAAAACATGGAAGTAGTTTATGGTCAGGAAAAATGTATTGCTCCATATATTTTTTTAAAGATACCCTCTATAAACAAATCTTAAAAATATGAATAGAAGAATAAACTACCAGGGTAGACTTTTTGCAGAAGATAGACACATTTTGACTAGCAGTTTACCATAGAACCTTAAAACGTTTGCAAGATTTCATAGCAGTCGCTTTTGTATTTTCTCATTTAAATTGTAAAATATTATTTTGATTTTTTCCAAAATCTAGACGTCAAGGGTAAAACATAAGGGCAGATTAACACACCAGAAGTATCTTATTTTATAAAATTTAAGTAAATATAATTTACTTTGTAACATTTTGAGATATCATCAAATTTTTGGTAGAGATGATTAAATAAATTTTGGTTAGCGTTTTACCATATACGCGATGTTCCTAAAATGCACCAAAAATTGTACGACAATCCAGTAGCTTCTGAGATTACCCGCTTAATGAAACCGACAACAAACGACAAACCCACGGAAACGGAGACCAACTTTTTCAAACTCGGGAAGTTACAAAACGTCGAGAAAACATGAAGTTAGTCAATAGACGAACGGATTTTTTTACAATATTTCCACAGCTTAAGCTAAAGAAGTAAAAAACTTGTAAAAATTCATGAAATTATTTTTTAAAGCGAAGCTACAAATTAGCAAATACCGAGTAAGCAGTAAAAAATATTTGACGTATATAATATTATATAATTTTTGTGGGAAAGTATCAATTTTGCAATTAGGCTCCGCCTTTCGGTCTGACAACGAATGAAAAATTTATCACGATTGAGATCGAAACGAATGGGTGGGGCTTCTCTTCTGGTTTTCTTTTTTAATTAATACATCTAGTTTTCTTTGTAAAACATGATTACCTACTTAAGAACATATTTCACATGGTACTTTCTCGTAGAAAAATAAGGATTTTACATTTAAGCCCCACCCCTCAGCTCACGACGAATTAAAAAAATCATCACAATTGAGCTGGGCAAGTGGGCGGGGCTTATATTGTACTTTTTTTTCTCTTAATATGCATGACCTTCTTTTCGCAACAAGAAACTTAAAACATGGTTAATATGGTACATTTTTGCAAGGAAATATGGATTATTTAATTATTTTCATGTGTCGAGTGGGAGCGGAAACTAATAATAGAATCTAAGATGTGAAGAAAGTAAAAAAAAAGCGCTCATCTTTAAAACACCTGCATTTCAATTGGCGACTTTGGGAAAATGGTAGGAATTTCCGTAGAAACGAAGCCGAAAATGAGTTCTCGATATCGAAATGTATAAGAAAATGTCTTCAACTAATTTTCGGAAATAGTTGCAAAATGGTAGAAAATGTCAAAAGTGACAAAATCAGTCTAATCTTATCAATACTAGCCCCACCCACCCACCCTCTTACATTATTAGAGGATATGTCATTTGCTAAAACAGTCTTATCTTAACAAACACTAGCCCCACCCACCCACCCCTCTTCTCATTTTAACGACTAATTTTATTTCTGTTCAGCATAAGACCATTCATTTCATTCAGATCAGATGAAATCATCACTGAAAAGGAGACAGGGTGGGTGGGCGGGGTAATAATGTTCTGTCGAGTGGGAGTGGAAATTAACAATAGAATCTAGAATGTGAAAAAAGTAAAAAAAGCGCTAATCTTTAAAATAGGTGTATTTATTTCAATTGGCAATTTTCGAAAAATTGTGGGAATTTTCAAAGAAATGAAATCGAAAATGACTTCTGGATATCGAAATGTACAAGAGAATGTCTTCAACTAATTTTCGGACATAGTTGGAAAATGGTGGAAAATGTCAGAAGTGCCAAAATCAGTCTTATCTTATCAATACTAGCCCCGCCCACCCACCCTGTATTTTATTAGAGGATATGCCATTTGCCAAAATCAGTCTTATCGTAGCAAGTACTAGCCCCGCCCACCCACCCCGTCTTCTCATTCTAACGACTATTTTTAATTCTGTTCCGTATAAGATCATTCATTTCATTCGGATCAGATGAAATCAATCACTGAAAAGGAGACAGGGTGGGTGGGCGGGGCTAGTGTTTGCTAAGATAAGACTGTTTTGGAAAATGACATATCCTATCTATCAAACATTGTCAAAGTTTTCAAAACCCTACGTTTAAAATGTTCGCAGTTAATTTTCGGTCCCTTTACTGATGTTTTATTTTCGGATAAATTTAAACGATACATTTTGTTACTGGATGAACCTGAAAAAGTCTTTTGGGGTTCTAGTGTTTTATTTTTTACGAATTTGAAAAAGTCGAGTGCCGCAGTGTTTGGGTACTCATGGTGTATTATTTTGGGAGCCTATGGAGATTTTTTTTGTAAATTTAGATACTCCTGTTTGTAAAGAATTTGAAAGTGCTATAGTCTCTCTAGTGTTTTTTCTTATGATAATCTAATTAAATTTCTTAGAGAATACGTCATTTAATAAAATCAGTCTTATCTTAACAGGTATTAGCCCCACCCACCCGCCTTCTCTTTTCCTAGAGGACATGCCATTTGCCAAAAACGGTCTTATTTTAGCAGTTACTAGCCCCGCCCACCCACCCTCTCTTTTCGTAGAGAATATGTTATTTGCCAAAATCGGCGGTACTAGTCCCGCCCATCCACCCTCTTTTGTTAGAGGGTATGTCATTTACCAAAATCAGTCTTATCTTAACAGGTACTAGTCCCGCCCACCCACCCTCGTCATTTCTTAGAGGGTATGTCATTTGCCAAAACCAGTTTTATTTTAGCAAGCACTGATGACTAACTTTTACATAAAGATTTTTTTAATTATTTTTTTGGCACTCCCGAAACCCCCGTGCATAACGTACTCAAGAGTTAATTCGTCATTTTCCAGACACCCGGTATAAAAATTGTTTAGATAAATCAGTTAATTATACAGCAAAAATGGGAAAATTTCTTCATCTTATTTTTTACTTCCTAGGCATAAACTAGGGAAGTATTGTAATAGGATCCGTCGGTCGAACGGCTAATTTCATGTTTTCTCGACGTTTTATGATCCCTTGAATATGAAAAAATCTGTCATCTATATCAATATTTGGTGGCACATAATCTGCAAACTACTTACATATTTCATTTTCTTTATTTTATTTTACGAATATCATGTAAATGCTAAAACGTTTACCAAAATTTAACACCAAGAAGATGATGACGTCAACTCAAAATTTAGTAAAATAACATACTTTATACTTGTGGTTTATGAATTAATTTTTATTTTTCGAGCGTAACCTATAATAATGTCCATCCGACAAGTTTTATGTTTTCTGGAGGTGTCATAACTCCTGGAGTATGAAACAGTAGGTCTCCCGTTTCTGTCTGTCCAGATTTTTATTAGACAGATAATCTCCGAAAGTGCTGGACCGATTGTTGTCAAGTTTTAGAAATATGTTATGAATATGGTGTAGATGGTAAAACGATAACCTACATTTGTCTAATCGCTCCCACCAACAATTTGATGACGTTATCTTAGAAGTTTGTACATTAATATTATTTACATGTTTTATAATAATATCCTTCTACATTTGTGGTTTATGAATCCGCCTTGAATTTTCCCCTTTGGCGTCTAAATTTTCGGAAAGCAGGGCCGAGTACGCCATTTTCTATTTTCGTACACTGTGATTAGTATTTTCTAAATTTAAAACGTAGAAGAAGTAAGTCGACGGCACAGTATTCAGAGTTTATTTAGATTGCTAACTTGTTTAGATACAAACCATTTCCATACAAACTTACTAGTATCATCATCAGAACTATATGTTGAAAACAGGAAATTAGGTAACAAACAAACTAAAATATGTGAACACTTACCATAGGATTCGCGAAACATAGAATGTACACTATGTACAACGTAGTGATGAATGGTAGTGAAAACAATAAAAATTGTAATAGTCATATTTCTTGGCGCTTCACGACTTGTATAATATGAAGTCAGGTTTCTAACGAATCGATTGCCCAGAACGCTGACGAATTGATTTGCTCATCTTCTCTAAAAAGATCCATTTTAAAATAATTTGTACCATCAATTTGATCATTTATTTCAGAAACATTGATTCAAGGATTACAAAACTTTAACTCGAGAACGTTGATGCCTTAAAATTAATTTTCTTTATTAAAATTAATATATTGACCTGTTTCAAAAAGTTTATGAAGTTATATCAAGAATGACCGTACTTTAAATGCAAATACTTTAATGCTGCTTCACTTGTGATTTAATTAATATTCCACAGTTATATTTGATCTTATCTACTACCCGTGACTCAATAAAATTAATATTAATGATAATTTATTTCACAAAATATTACGAAAACATTTGATTTCACTGAAATTTCTAGATAGACCGAAATTATATTAAAAAATAAGTTCACTTCAAACATACTTTTCCTTCTTCCAAAAAGTCGATGTCGTCGTTTGATACAAAAACGCATCAGTAACTTCAAAACGACTATGTATTCTCTTTTATACGATTTAATATTGTATTCCTTTACTAAATTTTGGCAGCTGCATATCATACACCTAAAAACTAAAAATAGCGCCAAGTTACCATTTATTACATGGGAAAATGTGGCATTTGTTTTGAAACTACCTGTATTTTTAAGCTTTTTACCGTATTATTATTATTATTATTACTCATCTTCACGTACAATGACTCGGCTTTACCATGACTAATGTTAATAGTCGTAAATATGCCGAGATGTTTAGGTTTTAACAACTTTTAATAATATGTGTACATTAAAAATCATAAATGAAGTACATCCGTTATAATGGTGCTTGTAATGCTTATAAGAAGAATGAATTTTAATTGTAAATTTTCTCGACACGCGCAGCACATACCGTTATGTCCAACGTGTATGGATATGATATTAGACTTGATGCCATATTTTGCATTCACTTTCGAAAATTTTTTATTCCGTTATTATCAATTTTTTTCGTTTTTCGTTAATTGAAAACTTGTTCTAAACTGCCGAAGAATTTATAAAATTATTAATTAAAATTTATTCATTTACCTATATACATTTAAATACCAATAAGTCGACGCGTTATTTCATCACATTTTACTATTTTCACCTTTTTATAACATTAATATTAGCAACAATGAAGTATAACTTACTTCACATTAATTCAAACAGTTCTTTCAACCGTTTAATTAATATTAACATTTTAGACGAACGTTGGCTCTCGCACAAGAGCTAGGTGATCATGCAGTAGAAGCTCAAGCCTGCTATAGTCTGGGCAACACTTACACTTTGTTACGAGATTACGAAACTGCCATAGAATATCATTTACGACACCTTCTGATCGCACAAAACCTTGCTGACCGCATCGGCGAAGCTAGAGCTTGTTGGTCCTTGGGAAATGCTCATGCGTCTCTGGGAAATCACGAGAAAGCTTTACAGTTTGCTAAGAAACATTTGGAAATTAGCAAAGAGGTATGATAATCACATTTACATTAATAACAAAACTGTACACAAGTTTTAATCAGCGATAACGTACTCTATGTACTGTGACTATACCGTTGTGTTTGAACGGAATATTAATCGCTAATTTATTTTCACAACATCGAGAATCATTTAAGGAAGCCGTTAATTGCGTAATCCGTTTTTCTGCTGTTGTGTTTTAGTTAGGGGATCCAATGGGTGAAGCTACAGCGAAAATGAACGTGGCGGACTTGAGAAAAATTTTAAATTTACCGGAAAGTCCTGAGTCGATCTGTGAAACTCCTTCTTCCAAAAGTGCGTCTCCTAAAGAACCTCAAATGAACGACGTCACTCACCAGAGGATACATAGGGTGAGACGAGAAAGCATGGAACAGCTTAGCCTTATTAAGGTAGCGGTTTTTTTTTTGTTTTTCGTGTTTCTTGTTTAACAAGCGTAAGTTTATTTATGTTTCTCGATTGTTTGTGTATGCTTTGTGTGTTGCATCGCTTTTTATATGTGCAATAGATAGCATTAAGTTAACCTAGGCATTGCATACATCTTTGAACGTGGTATGAACCTTCTTTATTGATTACACTGGTCAACAATAAAAAATCGAACAAAGAAATAGGTGAATCACGGCAAGTCTAAATTCATTTTTCTTCGTTACGATTCGAATAATTTTGTTTGAAAACTGAATTTAATTATTTTACGTAACACAAAGTGCATAATGTACCATATTTAGAACAATGTATGACATATCATAAAGAAAAGACAATACCTATGAAAGGTAGGAGCATCAGTCGCACTACAATCGATAGTTCTCGACGCTGAATGTTAGATTTTTTTATTGAAAAACACTGACATTGTTTCTGTTACAATTTGTTAGAGAAGATAAATTACCACAACATGTTGTGATATGCATGCGTTTCATTTGTCGTACCTAAATTTTTAGAAATTATACGAATTGTGTTTTAGTTACCTGGGGACAAATTATGCTGTGACATATAAAAGGAGCACCAAAGTCATAAAATCTAGATTAGAGTTCCACCTAATGACTATTTACCAGTTTCTATATCCTAATTTTCTTTAGAATATTTAAATTAAGTGAAGTATAACGGTGATAATTCATTTGCGGTTAAGAAACTTCTGATAAAAACTAACTTTGGGCTAAAACCATTGTCATTAAAAACTAAATCCTTCTGTTTTGAGTCTTTCTTCGAAAAAAACTGAACTTCTTGTGTCTTAATTAAAGCCAATCACGAATAGTCAGTGCTACCCTCAGAACAGTGATTGGAGCAATTACTTTTTGCACTTTGAAAAATTTGATGAAGACACAATTTTAGATATTTGTTGTTGGGTCCAAAGAGTCAAGAAAAACATGTTAGAATGAAAAAACAAATAAATACTTCACGCAATAGGACTATATTCATAATTTAAATTCAATAATAACTGACATTCAAAATTTTCGTCAGCAAAGACAACAGTACACATCCTTTCCACTGCGGCGCTAAATGGAGTTGTTGTAGGACAACATGTTATATATTTTATCAAAAATTGAAGAGCCAATTCTTTTGCGCCTAATTTAATTCCACTCTAGCTACAAATAAAAGTTCGATGCCAACTGCAACACCTTTTAAACAAAAATTTGCATTGGTGGGAGATTTCAAAATATCTTATTGGCTGCGTGTAAATGTATCGTAAATATTAGTCCACCGATAATTACCTACGGACGCAAATCTTTTAGTCGTTAATAAAAAGGATATTCCTAAATACTTAGAAGGGGGCTATAAGATAATGTAAACTTAAAAGTCTGCCTTTAATTATGTCTTAGTTAACGTTGTGACTTACAGATTAAATTTAGAAAACCTTAGAGGGTGGACACTCTCATAAAATTTTATTGTTGGATTATGAGAGCTTTATCGGTTACCTGTTATAGATTTGAGTGGACCAGAAAAATGGCTAAAGTTTGTTTGACCACAAATTTTAAATATTCTGCCTTTGTTTACTCAATTATTTATTAAGATATTTTATTTCTGTAAAGCGCAATGGATTTTTTAAATACAATTTCTACTAATGTACCTTTTTGAAAATTTTAAATTGATCCATAAATAGCGAAAACCAGATAATGTCATAATGTACTGATCACAATTTTAACACGTTGTAGTTTTTTTTTTACAACAAAATTTAAAAACTGGAAAAGCAGTCTTGGTAGGGTTTTTTTAAGCTCATTTCAACGGAATGAAGTTCATTACAATCAGACGTATATTTTTGGCAAAAACTTGGCCTTAAAGTGATGAAGAGCTTATGTATATTATGGTTACCTTGTTTCTTAACAAATTCTGTGCTAAACTCGTTTTAGATTTTAACCCTCTACTTCTCTTTGTGGGGACAAACCAGATATAATAATCCCAGCAGGTAAGGTAAACAATTCGTAGAGAAAAACAAAACAATAATTTTGAGTATTTGGGTTAAAAGTAATTGTAAAGTGATTGAATTACTCAAAAAAAGTAATTCGTTGCAATTACTCATTACTTGAGAAGGTATTAAATTACTTCCAACCACTGCCTCAGAACGTTATTATTGTATCAATTTTATGAGGAAGTGTTATTAGTGACGGTTGTAAAATGACCAGTGCCTGAAACCCTTCGCTGAAAATGTAGAAGTTGTAACTGAGGGAATTCAAAATTCAAAGCATAAAATATAAACTTATTAAAAAATACAATCTAAACATTTCCTACGAACAGGATACACTTAATAAATAAATAAACAATCTAATTATTACTACTACTAAGAAAAGTTTCCGACGAAGATTAGGTATTATTATCAATACTAACCGTGATTATAAATATATTGTGTAGGCGTTCTCATACAAAAATAACGTTCTGAGAATAAGCATTATCTTAAACTTGATAATCGCATGGTTTGGCTTCTTAATGTTACTAACTCCGTGAGAGAATTAATAGAACATCGGTGACTCTTTATCAACGATGTTTAAAGGCAGGGTTTTTTTTGTAACAGAAATTCAAAATTTCTATTTCTGTTGAAAATTGAATTAGAGACAACTCAATACAAAGGGCGTCAATAAAAGGAAGAGACAATCATATCGTTAACTTCTACTTTTATGGTATTGTGGTCCTCAGTTGTACAAAACCTTTTTGTCATTTGGGTGAATTCTATTTATATGAAATAGCAATTTATTGTTTCGTTTCTACTTCCCGAGTACAAACGAAAAAATAGTTCTCCCATGTCCGTCTACCTATCTGTCATTTGGCTGTCAGATTTTTATTAGGCAGATAATCTCCGAAACAGACCGATTATTGACAAATGTTTCTTAGGAATGTCGTATAGATAGCAAGACGAGAACCAAAATTTGGCTAATCATCCCTACCAACAATTGAACACGTCCCTTACATTTTTTTTTTTAGTAAATACCACTTAAATTTTATAAAATAACGTACTCCTATACTTGTGGTTTATGAATCTGTCTTGATTTTTTATTCCAAACATCCAGATTATCGCAAAAAATGACATGTAGTGAATTCAGTGGTTGTACCGTAAAAATGTTGACGTATTAACGCGAAGGCCGCTGGTTCGATTGAATCATGGAGACACATTTTTTTATTGATCAAATTAAGAACGATTTACCTTATTTTTTCGAAAATTTGAGAATACAATAATGTCGTGTCCGCCTATATTTAATAATAATAAAATAATTATTATAATAACAGCTACTTGCCCAAAATAATATTCAGAACGTTTTGCTCCATTGTAGCGTAAATAATAACTTTAGTCGCCTCCTCTGTTTTGAGAAGACAAGGTCATTCAAATTTTTTCACTTATTCTGGTCAACCAACTTGATGCGTGCCTAATAGTCGCATTTTAAGCAGATATTGATAATATGTATATTTTTCCCGTTGGTTATCTACCACGAATCTAGAAAAAAATGACAAACGACTATCAGTGGTCCCATTTATTTTCCGTTATTTTTTACGCGGCCGCTAGAGGCGCCACCGTATACTGCCCCAGTTTAGCCTGGAAACTTATAAAATGTGAATTTTTCATTAATTCAGCCTAAAAAGCACATAAAAGCCATATCAGGGATAAAAATTGTCTGGTTTGCGATAAATAAAACTCTAGTTCATAGTTTACGCTTACTTTTTCTGGAAATTATTTTTAAAACTATTTTATTAATTGAAATTTACTTCGTTTTAATTAAAGATGCATTAATATAAAAAACGAAATTAATTAATAGTATATTATTATACAGTGGAAGGAGGTGAAAGATTGTAGCTCGAAATAATAAATAAATAAATAAATAAATAAATCAAATAAGAAGTAATACATGCGTCACATTCGGTTTTTGGTTTTTGACAACTGTTTTTGAAAACATTACAATATACATTTGAAAAATTGGCGTCACTCTCATTATATTGTGATAACCTCACAAAAAGGTGGCACTTGAAATGGTACATTATTTCCATCCATAAATCCTTAAAAGGGTTCTTAATTACTTCTAGTACTCTGACTATATTGGGTACAGGTTCCAAATTTACCGGTTGCTCCATTTTTGTCCTTTTCGACGGAATTTCATGTCTTTCTGTGATCCTCCTCTTCGATACTGTTATGTACTTACTGAACCAGATGTCCACACTTTAATTATCTCTGAGGAAATAAAACTTTTCACTAATTGCCTGATGCCTCTTTCATTAAGTGATTAATAAAAAACTAGGTTTTTGTAATATATTAAAAATATACGTATAATACGCAGCGCCGCCGCAGAAGTAAAATTGAGTCATGCGAACTACACAAGACAATATCCTTCATATTTTAATTCGTGTTATCTACTTTAAATATATTTGACATTGTCGGTGTTTGTCCAGCCTGCGTCAACTGTGTGGCATACTTCTTCATTTTAAGTTATAGGAGTTGTCAAAAATTAAATTTTATTAGCTATTTGTCGAAGAAGCTGCATTTGGCGACTACTTCAGATGCAAAGGAAGCTCTATCTAAATAACTTTAGACCAAATTTTTATTAAAGCTGTACATAATTAGTTCTAAGTTATGTCATTGTCACTACTGACGTCTCATATGAAGTAATTACTAACCACACAGTAACTGAAAGGGTAGGAAATGATGTAACACAATAAGCTCCTGTTTACACTATTGTTTTGTTTATTGTGTGTTTCGCCAACTTGCAAAACTATTTATTCTACTTCATTGTCAAGGATGCTGAATGCGTACAACAATAACCACAATATAAATTAGTAATGATCAAATATGATTTCAATATTTTAATACTGTGTTTTGGTGCCGGATTATTTATTTAGAGTTTGCATAATGTGTAACTAATTAATTAAAAACCCCCAAGTGTTAAATAAAATTTTAAACAATCCATCCACAGAATATAATCCACCGTTTGATCGATGAATGCAGACAAATTTTTAATTATTTTACATTGATAGACAAAAAAGTTAAACAATTTTGCACTTGATTCTGCAAGGTGATTAAATTTGTGAAGCGTTATTTCCTTAATTTCTCTAAAATTAAAAATGTATGTACGTTTTGTTGCCTTAGGCAAATGTCTACTCATTTAAATATTATTCAAGCGGCGAAGTTAGTCACTTACAAACTAAAACATTCAATATTGACATATAAATTGAGACTAAGATAAACCCCAATAAACCCGGTCATAATAGAAAGCTTACTTAAAGAAAAAGTGGAAACAGTTCTAAATAAAATACGTGGCGTTCGTTTTAAATTTTTAATCGAATTTATACCGTAAAGTATTTAGAGCTGACTGTATTGACACATAAATTGTCTACCTATGACACAATTTCTTTAATATTTAATTTTTCAATAATTAACGTTTAAAATTTTAAATGACAACGTTCACTAGGTTACGTAACGTTAGAGTAATAATGCTGTGGTTCACCACAAACTAAACATAATAGTTCTTATGTAAGCCTGCACTATTTCATCACGATCTAACGTCGTCTTTACGTGAAACATTAATTGTTGATGTGCCAGCACGAATTTTAATCCAGTTTAACATTGTTATTCTCCATAACTATTATTGATCCGAACGGTCGATTATACAAACCATAATTGTGCCGCTTGTCAGAAAAAATTTATATATTATAATTGAAGCTAATATCAAAAATGTCAGTTACGTGTTCGTAACTCTGTAATCATTTTTTGTCCACTAGTGAAATAAAAGTGTAAGTTACTATACACAACTCATTTTATTTTGTTATTTTGCATGCTTCATGTGGCATGTGTATGTTACATATGTTAAGGCGCCACTGCTCTCTGACTGTGTTCTAGTATCAGATCACCAATTGCAATTAATAATCTAGTCAGGCGTGTTTGAAAATAAATAAAACATTTTAATCCCTGCATGTTAAATAATATCGTCCACGCTGTATATTTTTTACGTGGGGGCTAACATGGTAATTTCCTGAGTCAATTCCTTCTAATTATTAACTAAACACTAACAAAAGGCCCTCTTGTAAACAGGCACGTTATGTTTACTGGGTACACAAAAACTTGTGTATTATCTTCGTGATTTTCAAATAACAAGGTTACAAATATTTAATTCGCACAATCTATCACATGTTTGTTTTTGGATTAGTTCTAATTAACGTAACAACTGTTTTCTCTCGTGCATCTTATTACATTGTTCGTTTTAAACCCAAACGTCTTTTACTCCGCAAAAACAACGTAAGTATGTCACTTAAAATTTGGAAAAGCGCCAAAGTTTTTCTATAAACTCGTAAATAGCAATAAAATAAACGTGGATACAAATTGCGCACTAAAGAAGATACACAGTCGATTAATTATAAACAGCTATGTACCTCGTTTCTAGGTAATTGTTTGCACCGTTTTTATACGTGAATACGCTGCAGCAAAAATTAATAAAATAAATAACAGTTGACGTCAGATTGTGGTGCTAAACAACAAGTTTTATCACCGCGGATATAAGGTTTAACTCATTCTCTAGTATTTTTTTGGACGAGCGTCAGCGGAAAAATTAAGTCGCGAAAACTTTGTTTCGCAGTTAACTCCAGACGGAAAACAAAGACCCGGCCTAACACTCCCTCCAATGAAGGCACCATCTCCAACCAAAAACGAAGACGATGATTCTTTCTTCGATTTGCTGTCGCGATTCCAATCCAAGCGTATGGACGATCAGCGTTGTTCTCTGACTGTGGACAACAAGGAGAATACCAACGTAGTTAATCTGCCTCGGAATGAAGGTATTTTAATTTAAAAAAATGGTTACACTTTTTCAGTGTTAAATTGCTTAAACTAAAAAAAATAATTGCGTTTGTTAAAGGACCAGACGACCTGATAGACATGATTGCCGGAATGCAGAGTAAGAGAATGGACGAGCAAAGAGTGGCTTTGCCTCATCTGCCGGGGTTACAGTCGTCTTCTCTTCAAAGGCTAGCCGAATCTAGGAATAATAGCGTACCAGATGATAATTTCTTAGATCAGTTGGTTAGGTGTCAAGGCTCCAGGCTTGAGGATCAAAGGTCACCTCTACCAGTACCTGCCGTAGACGTAGAAGCCGATCCACCACCAGCTAATTCCAGAAAAAGTGGAGCAACTGTACCAGATGAAGATTTCTTCTCTTTGATTATGAGGTTCCAGTCAGGGAGAATGGATGATCAAAGAGCTGCGGTGCCTCGGGTTGAGCACAGGTAGGTGTTAATATTTAACAATGTATTTTTTGAAGTGACTAGTGTTACATTGTACACGTCAAAATTATTAAAGAATAGTGAACTAATTTTTTCAAAAATTTGCTCTGATAGAAGTGAGAGAAGTTTAATGTAAATAACTTCACAAAGTTTTAGTACCCTTTTTTTTTGTTTACAACTGGAGAATATATTATTTATGTAAACATTACCGCCTATTGACGCAAAATATTCCAGTGTATATAAATGCACTTACCAGTGATTTGCTTTTACGGAAGTGATAGTAATGCGCTTATTTTACAACAAAAACATTTTTAAGTAAACATTTCAACCACAAATGACGATAATTAACTAGTCTATTTGGTTTATACACTTTAAAATAATAAAATAAGTTTTTCTTTCATCTTTTTTTGTAAAAAAAAATTGCTAGAACAACTGAATTGAAAATGGTTGAAAATAATCCCTCTGTCGTTGCAGGATGGCTAATGGTAACGTTCCGCACGCAACAAATGGTATTAGTAATAACTTCAAAAGCAATTCTTCTGGAAAGAAGAAAAAATAATTAGGTATGTTAAGTAACAAAAAAATATTTAAAAACCCCATATCTCGATTTTTATTTGTATTGACTGCCATTGGAGCGTGTACCCATGTAATATAAAATGAGCCTAAAGCAAGTTATATACATATTCTTTTATATAGTTTAAATTTTTATATATTTTTATATTAAAATAATGTATGTATTGATTTTTTTTAATTATGTATAATTATTTTTACTTGTGATTTGTCCAAGAAATGTTAATTTCTTATCATAATAATGACAGGAATCAAACTTTCTTATACAGATGACAGAAAATATATTGCCGTCACATCATTTAACCTGTATTAATTAACTTATGGATTTGTTGCTCTTGAACTCATTTTGTTTTTTTACTCGTCGGTTCATGACAACATATTAAATAGATTAGATAAGTGGATGGTTTTATGCAGAAGTGGACCAAATTACAAGCCTTTCCATTTTTCATTGCAGTTAGGAGTCTCCTCCTGTCATAATAATACTAAATGATGTCTCAAATTTTAGAAGTACAGTCATTTTTCGTCTTAAAGTTTTCAGCAATTGTAAATTGATCCATTTCAAGTTATACTTAACAACTTGCATTTGAGTGTGATGATGCAAATCCAAGAGATTTGGTTTTGCAAAAATTTAATCTCAGACCTGAAAGCTCCAATTTTTCAATAAACTGAAAATAATCGTTATGTATAAACTAGGTTTTAAACTAGAGGTGTATAATTTGATGAAACCAAAAATTGTAAAACGTTTTGGTCTGGTATTTAATTTTTTATGAGATAGAGTATTTAAAAAAGAAATGTTTTGTGGAAGGATGTTGCTCTCTATTTTTATAAAAAAAAAAGTTAAAATACGTCTTTCCTCATTAAAAACGTGAATATTGTCTAGAGGAATTTCGTTACTGTTATCAGCGGTAATTCAAGTTTCGTTTTCCAATGTATACAACTGGTGGATTAACACTTTTATGAAATTTGTTGCCACATTGTGTTACCGTCGTTTTAAATTTGTATATTTCTCAAGCCAGTTCAATGCTAAAAGATGCATTTAGACTTTGCACATTCATTTATATGACGTAAATATTTCTGCCATGAAAGTACAACGCGAACTATAGAATAGCACATAATGGTATCAAGTTGAAATTGTGCACCTAGTTAATAGCAAAAATACAGAGAAATTTGAAATAGTTTTCACAAAGCGTAATAATTTGAAAATCATTAGCTTCCATTTACTTGAAATGTTAGAAAAGCAGATTATTAGATTATACGTGTAATTCTTCTGAATGGGTTAATGGAGTGCCAAATGTTAAAAAATTTGTGGCAACAGATTTTTTGGTGCATGTTTACATATAGAATCATCCCACCTGAAAATTTATGAAAATAATCTGTCCATTTGGATGCTTTATGCTGTACACATTGTTACAAAGTAATGTGAGAACAAATTAGACAAATGTTTGCCAAAGATGTTTATTCAAATATCCACATGTTTAATAATAGACTGTTGAATTTCTTCCCTCTTTTTATGAAAGATTTATATGACATTCATGTGTTAATGATATGCTGAAATGTATTGTTATTTATATGGTACAAAGTAGGAGAATAAATTTTATTAACTGTACACTATTTATTTACAACCTTACCACTTCACAACCTAATACCTTTAATAAACTGTTTATACCATAAATAACTAGTTGCGCCGCATAAACTATACCAAGTTAAAATATATGAGAAGTGCTCATTTCGCAACGAGATTCTTGTTTGGCCGCCCATCGGTCCTTGTGGTACATCAAAATCATTTGTCGCTTCCAATAAAACTGGTGAGGCACCTGTCACTTGCGCCATTTGGTTCAAATCCCTAAAATATTTTAGTTTATTCTAAGAAACACATTTTTTTTCTTTGATCTACCTATAGTACCACTGATTACTCCCCACTTGGTTTTTGGGTGTAAAATTGGGTCTATTTTCATGCAAACGCACTACTCCAATAACATCAACAATTCCTTTTTGTTGACCATTTTGCCTGGTTGATGGATTCTTACAATTGTTAGGAACCCACCCTCTATTAATTAAAATTGTTTCACTACAATCAACTATTAATTTAAAATCTTCAGTGACAAAAATAACATACTCCCTATCCACTAACTTCAAAGGCGTTATAACTAAATATCCTTGGTTTCTCTGTGTTGAAACAGACATTAGCTCACTTTTTGTGGAAGCATCACCTTTAAGTATTAATGTTCTTGGTCCCAAATATAACTCTTTGTCGTGTAAAAATTCACCACGGACATGAATTGGCCTATATTCCAGCTCCTTGAGTTCCTCTAAACTATAAAAATAAACTACAATAAAACGTACATACTTAGATAATTTACAAACTCCTCTGGAAGAGCTATAGGATCTGACTGAGTTAATTGTTGCAATTTCCCAATTAAATCCTCTTTCCATTTTTTCCTTTGTACTTGCCACGTTCCTAAACCGAAAGTTGAAGCAGGTATCACCTACAATATCGTAATTTGAACTGTACTTCAACTACAATAATGTTATATGAACCAGTAAGAACCATCCCCATGGACCTATTTTCTTTGATGCATTTTCTTGTTGTTTTACAAATAGTTTAGACTTTACATTATTTGAATAACGTAATTTACTAAAATATAACGTAGAATAAACTTTACTTCCTTTACTGGTACAATTTAAACATTTTATAATACTTTGTGACAACATTTTAGGTTATATTTGTTTTCATATTTTTTGACAGTAATGACAATGTGACAGTTGGTACTAGTTTCAAAATAAATTGTTTACGTAATTTTTTAATGGACTGAGTTTTGTTCAACGAAAGAATCAATAAATAGCTCTGGTAAAATAGTACTCATAGAAATTCATCTCCTATAACTCTGAAATACCAAGGAATTTGTTATTTTTTATCGACATAAATCACAAGACTAGCCAACAGTGTAAAACAAAGTTTACTAGAAATGACAGATTTAACCACATTGGAGTTCGAACTTGAAGTACTGTTGAAATTCAAGGCGGTAAAATAGAGCAATGTTTGTGATTATTAGTTTAAAATTAGTGTTGTAAGTGATTTGGTGCAAAAACACTCAGTGCAAAGTGTCAAGATTAGAATTATCAATATACAATCAAGAAATCAAAAAACACAGACTCCTCCATGGCAAGTCAGGAAGATGACATCGAACAAAATGATTTATTTTTTGAAAAACCGCCCTCTCCAATTCTTAGTTTTAAGATGACTCGAAAGTATCTGCTGTCCAAAAAGATGCAAAGAAAGAGTCGGGTAAAATTGAGCGATAGATTTTCCGAAAACACATCGAAAGACTCTGTAAATTTAAATGATACGACTAACTCACTAGCTGGCACTTCATTTGCTGCACCTCAGTTGGAAAAAATTGAAGCAGAAGAAGAGCGACTTGGAGGAAATAAATTCCAAAAGAAAAACCAAGTAGAGAATTTTGATTTCAAACAACCTGAATCACCTGTTGCACTTGCTAAACCAAAAAAGACAGTGCATGTTTCTGGTCAGGGTCGTGGTAGTGGTTTCAAGACAGCAGGCGGTCTTCAGTTGAATCTCTCGGATGATCAGATTAAACAATCTAAAAAATTATTTGCTGATATTTTAAACCCAGGTGAAAGTGATTGTGAAAAAAGCAGGTCTAATAAATATGCATTTCTTAGTAAGAGAAGGTCTGAAAATTTTGAAAAGCATAAACCAAGTGGTGCCTGTGTGGAGGAACAAAATATAGCGTCTTCTAGGAAAAATTTAGTACAGTTAAGTGTAGGGTTTCAAACTGCTTCTGGCAAGGGTGTGCAAATTTCTGAATCTGCATATAATTCTGCTTGTAAGAAATTTAGTGATGAAAGTCTGCCAAAATTTGAACAATTAAAAGATATAGGTGACAAAGAGGAAATACATATGTTGAGCACACAAGAAACAAATGAATTATTTAGTGATTTCACAATATTAGAAAGTGGTCATAATACACATAGAATGAGTGAATATGAAGACAGTTTTAAAGGTTTTACTCCAGACACAATTAATCAAAGTCAAAAAGTGTCTGATGAATTCATTGTGGCAATTACAAAACTCATTACAGAAATCAAGGTACATTCTCTCCTAAAGCGCGAAAAAGTTTCAAATAAGATTTTGAAAATTAACACAGAACCTAGATGTAAAAACAGTTTAAGTGCCATTAATAAAAGCACTGGAGGTTTTTCCATGGCCTCTGGCAAACAAATTTTTATCACTGACTCTGCTTTAAAATCAGCTAGAAATAAATTTGGAGAAGAGTTTGCCAGAGATATATACAGCCATTTTAAAAAACCCTTACCAAAAAATTCGAGTATAAATAAACACAGATCTTGCACAGAAAAATTGTATTTAACTAATTTACAAGAACATTTTAGAGGATTTCATGACCAGTCTATTGAAGAAAGTAAAAATAAAGCAGAAGCAATAATTAAATTTTTTGAAGAATTTAGTGATTCAGAAGTGACTTTAGTACAACATTATACCACACAGTTTCGACTTCATGAGTCACGTAATGAAACCTTAACCCCAATATCAACAGTCGGATTTACAACAGCATCAGGGAATAAGCTAATTGTATCAGAAACTGCTTTAAAAAAAGCACAGGACCTTTGGAACAAGCGCGATATTAGCTGCAGTGATATTTCATTTAAAAAAATAACTTCTAATGTTACCGAAATCACCGACGAAAATGCAGGATTTCAGACTGCAGCGGGACAGTCTTTAACAATGTCAAAAGATGCATTAAATAAAGCAAGGCGGATATTTCAAAGTCTTGATAACGAGGTTTCAGTGAATAATTTTCCAGAAAACTCGTCTTCAGGTTTTCAGACAGCAGCAGGGAATGTATTTACGTTATCAAAAGACTCTTTAAACAAAGCAAAACAATTCTTTCAAAATATTGATCACGATTTGCCTTTGAATGATTTTCCTAAGAAAACTTCAAAATTTCACACCAAGTCAGAAACTTCATTGACGCCTCCTGAAGATACCTCAAGTAAACTTGAACAGTTGTTTCAAAATATCGGTACTGAAGTGTGTTTAAACAGTTCAGCCAACAGCACCGAAAGCACTAATGTTTCGTTTGAAGACGATAGCCAAAGCTCAAAAAGTTCCATATTAAAAAATAGCAAAATTCATAGGAAAAAGCGCTTGGGAATATCATCCTGTAAACAAATTGTAATTCCTACACACAAAATGGAACAAGCTGCGAAGCTTTTTGATATGGAAAGGACGACAATGTCTCCTGTAAGAAATAATCAACCCACTATTTATAATTCAACACCGTTAAGAAACGTTCCACTGTCTCTTATCAACTCAGATATAACTCCAATAAAAACGCCAAGTTGCAAACAAGTAACGCAAGAAGTAACATGTGCAGAAGACGTAATTGATGATCGAATTTTAACTAGAGAATGTACCAAAGGCAATATTGATACCTGGAGTAAGAATTTGGAACATGAGAAAACTATTTTAGAAACAAAATTAAAGCTGATAGACGAAAGACAAAAAGCTTTAAACATTCAAAAACAGTTTACGGAAAGTAATAATACGGATCATCAAAAGTATGTCAAGTTAATGTTTTGTTAATTAATTTATACTTGTCTTTTTCTCTATTAGAAGGCGTAACGGCACTTTGTACACCCAGAAACAAAGTACTCAAAGGATTTCTTTAAAAGAATTTGTGCAACAGGATACTTCCGCTAAGAAACTCTTAAACATAACTCCCGAAAATGCGGAGTTAGTACATTTTAATTACAAAGAGTACGTTTTTATAACAGTTACAGTTCCACTGTTATCTTTAACTTTATAGACAACCTTTAACCTACGTGCGTACATTGGATGGTGCTTGCATTGTCCCTAACATTAACAATCATATAGGTTTATCAGAAATCGAAACAGCTTTCAAAATAATGCCGGGAATAGAACCAAAATTAATTCCGACTGGATGGATTCGAAATCACTTCAAGTGGATCGTTTGGAAGTTGGCAAGTTACGAAAACTTTTCTTCAAACATAAACAACTGTTTAACGGTTGAGAACGTGATACAGCAGTTGAAATATAGGTCTGTTTTTCTCATGACGTGTCATTGTAAAGTAAATGAATTTTTATGTAGATATGATCGAGAAATTGATAGGGCGGAGCGTTCAACTCTCAGAAAAATTTTTGAATTGGATGATGCTCCTCAAAAACGAATGGTGTTATGTGTGTCAAAGATAATTAATGTAATGATGGACATTTTCAGAATATTTTATAATAAGTAATGAACTTCTTCCAGTTGCAGAGTGATCAGTTTGAATTGGAATTGACAGATGGGTGGTACAGTATTAGAACCGTTATAGATGAGCCACTATGTAGACAGGTTAGGCTGCGGAAAATACGTGTAGGAACTAAATTGATTACTTGTGGTGCTGAAATTCTAAATTGCGAAGGATGTCACCCTCTTCAGGTAAGTATCGTGTCACTATGAATTTGATAACGTCATCTCAAAATTTTGCAAAATAAATCCTATTTCAGTTTTTTCAAATAACTTGCTTCTATACTTGTGGTATATTAATCCGCCCTTATTTTTCATTTTCTAGATACAGATTTTTGGAAAAAATTAAAATGTTCTGAAATCTTCAAACATTTTAAGGTTATTATGAGCACACTAAATCGCTAATTAAAATTTATCTATTCATCTCCTCCAAAAAGATGATGACGTCATAATAAAATTTTATTAAGAAAAATTCACATGTAAAATACAACGTATGCTTCACTTGTAATTTTCTAGTCCACACCTATGTTCATTTTAATTCATAGGGGTGTGATATGCCAAACATTCCTCCTAAATTAAGATATGCGTACAAAAATTTGACAGCAAAGTGGAACCCTACTTTGTGTTTTTGGAAAATGGCGAATAATGCAAAGTGAAAAAGTGACCTTGGATTAAAATTCAAAAATATGGGGGGAACATCTTTTGTTAAAAGGCTGTCAAAAAAAAAAGAAAAAAATATAGTTCGGATCACAGTTATGGGACTGATCTCTCTGATCAAGGCGATCGATCTCCCCCAGGTTTTGACGTTACGTTACGCAGCAAGGAGTGGCTGCGGACTTTCGTTCGCAGCCACTCCTTGCCATCATGACCTACTGCGTCGAGACGTGACATTTAAGTCCCTAAGACGCAACTGAATTTAGAAAAATATCAAAGCTATGACAAAGACAACACTGACAACTGGACTCTTGAACTTAAAATCCCCTAGCTAACAATTTTGGAACTGATGTTTAAGATTTCAAATCGTTCATTTAACTATTGGTTCAGACAAAGTTGTGAACAAATCAGAATCATTATTCTGAAAATTGTACTTCTTAAGTTATGATGGTGATCAAATGAATTATGTAAATCTTCTAAGCAAACAATCTTCGTTATTCTAGCAAGGAATTTATGTTAAATTATACGTTAACTCAAGGTTACTGATCAAATCAAAAGAAGTTCATCAAGATTACAACGTGGACTGCACATCACATAAATAAACGCAACAAATACATATTAATTGCTGTCGAAATTATAATAACGTGGTTTTGGTACACGCATCGCTGTGAGAGGAGTGTCTAAGAATAAATATTCAACACTCAAGTTGTAGAACCCCTAAAAAATAACACAAAATAAGCAAAATAAAATGACGAGTCAGAAGTTACGACACGTAAATAACAACTTAGGGAAAACCATCCAGCATTTTAGATACATCACTAACAGAATAGTTAAGCCTAAATAAGTGAATTTCGGTCGGTTTTAAATTAACATTTGCATTATCGTTACGATAGTTATTTACTCGTGAACATCAAAACAAATTTAACTAAAAACACTCTAAAATTACGTTCACAGATGTGCCAAACGCAAGGTCTTGCAAAAATACATAGAGAAATGTGGTACCACAATGTGGAGAACAGTTAAGTCAGCTCGGTAATATTATAAAGTATATACATGGGGCCTTACTTAGAAATATCTTGTGTATAAAATATTAATTCCTCCATTGTCTCACAAGAACATAAAATGCATTATTTCTAGAGATTGCGTGAAATAAATATCAATATTACATTTACAATTACAAACTAGCAGCGAACGAATTCACAGTTTAACCGTCTAGTCAAAATAATGGTGCACAATGCCAGTGCCGGATTATGCTGACGGTACACCGGGAAATTTCCCTAGCGCTACGTGCCACCATTTAACTCAATAATCATGCAAAACTAACCCCTAAGCCCTATTAATTGTCCGACTACCAAGCAAGCGTTTCCGTGTACCAGGTTGCCTATGTTTAACGATTTTTTTTGATGATTTATTTTTCAAATTCAAATTATTCACATTTTGAAGTTTTTTTAAAGCATTTTTTAATATTTCACCCCATTTTTAAGGTTATTTCTTAAAAAGTTGTGGGTTTTTAAAGATTTTGACCGTGATTCCAGCGGATCCATATAGAAACTGCTGGTTTTGAGATTCCGTGTCGCGTTTTCACCCTAAACATCCAGATGTTTTGGGAAAAAATCACAATTGTGTAACATTTTACAATTTAACTTTGAAATTGTAAAACCGAATGCTTTAAAAAATTACAAGTTTTTTAAGACTATCGTAAGCATGGTAAATTATTAATCAATTATTTGTTCGTTTAAAAAAAATTATGACATCTTAGAATTTTGCCGAATAAATGTTCTTTAAATTTTATAAAATAACACATTCTTGCATGTGTGATTTATAAATCCATGTTGAGTTTTTACTCGTAGCATCCAGATTTAAAAAAAAAATCAACATTGTATAACAATATTGTACAGTGTAACTTTGAAATTGCAAAAAGCGAATGTTATGAAATCGGGTAAATATTTTAAGATTATTTGAAATCTGGTAAATCGTTAGTCACAATTTGTCCGTCATCTTACAATTTTGCCGAATTTCTTCAAATTATTTTCTTGATGCTAAATTTCACTGGAAACTCGATTTGTTTGATTGTACTTGAGGGGCGAGGAGAGTTCTGTCTAAAAAATTTTGCATCAATTTTTGAACTTTTCAATTTATTACGGTTCCACGCTATTAAACTAGTCAGTGAAATGCATCAGATGCCGTAAAATTCTTATGACAATGACAAATAAAAAAGTGCGTCGACCCAGGGACGCTGCGTTGTCAATTTATATAAATTAAACACGTATACGAGGCCGAAGTCATTAATTTTCTGTTAAAAAATAATAAAAACCAAAAATATGTTGCATTTGTATTTTTTGACAAAATGATTGTTAATGATTGGGTTAATTAATGTAAATATCCATGTATTGTCAATTGTTGTTTATTATAAAATTCTATAGCGCGGCGTTACATGCCTATGTTCAGACTCAGTGCAGACTAGTGTCGGTGTCGAAGTCGGTCGGTATCGAACTCAACATCGTATTCCGGCGCGCGTCGTATACGTGTCATCAAAATGGAGACCTACGTTGTGTTTTGAAATGCCGGAATGCGTTCAAATGCAAAATGATTAACCCCATTTGAATTTCGCTGTTAATCATTTTAATCATTCACATTATTGAAATGAAATATGTATTATTTTCGTCCAGAACCTAAGCTAAGGAAGTATTCTAATTTTATGTTTTCTCGACATTTCAGTTCTAAACAATAGGTCTCCCATTTCCGTCTGTCTAATAAATCCCACCCACACTGCAATGACGTCTTTTTAAAATTATCGTTAAACGCCATTTTAATTTTATAAAATAATATCTTACTGTACTTGTGGTTTATGAATCCGCTTTCGAATCAAAGGCAGTGGCGGAGTGTGGGTGATTAAAGTATGAATTCAGAAAAGCAAGCTGTACTAGAATCTTCATAAAAAATTCAAACAATCATATTTTACTCCCCGAGCGTAAGCTACTTTGTTGAAATATTTCACCACGAAACTTGACCATGATGGGCATGACATTACGGTTCTGAGAACGAATGAATACTACCTACATTCTTTAGACCATATTTTAATTTTGAATCGGGACATCACAGCGGTCTTAACATTTTCACCCTTTGTTGTTTAGTTAAATTTATTGTTTGTCATTTGCTCTAGGCTACTGATATGATCCGCTTAAAAATCAGTTGTAATTCAACAAGAAGAGCCAGATGGTATATCAAACTAGGATACCAAAGATGCCCAGAGCCTTTCCCAGTCATGCTGTGTTCCGTTTTTCCAGCCGGTAATGTGATTGGATGCGTTAAAATTTGTATTGCAAGAGTTTACCCAGTTAAATATATGGAGAAACAAAACAATTTAACTGGTATGAATACACTCATTTATGACCAGAGAAAATTAATTTTTAATTTTAGTTTGGAGAAATAGAAAAGCCGAAGAATTGCGTGCTCAAGAATGGGAGAACAAAGGTCGACAAGAAATAGAGAAACTTAGAGAAACAATAACGAAAGATTATGAAATGAGTTTACGAACTTCTAGACAAAATCTCAGTTTAAACTACTCTATTGATCAAATTAGAAACATCAATTGTCCGGAAACTCTGTTCCATTTATATCAAAATAATAAAGACCCGGAGAAGTTCCAAGTAAGTCCCCGCGGTCACATCTAAAATTCAAAATTTAATTTCTTTGTTTAAGGAGATTTTATCCAGTTCTCAAAAAAACTCAATTGTGGATTATCAACAACGGATATTATTTATGCAACAGCAAGATATATCACGTAAACTGAAAGACAACATCGATAAACGACAAATTCCAAAACGAGATGTTACACCGGTTTTACAAATGCTAGTGATTGATATTCTTGATGCAAATGAGAAGACTTGCACTTTCCACATATGGAGACCTTCAAACGAACACGTGGAAATTCTTAAAGAATCGTCGGTTTTCGTAGCTTATAATGTTTTACCAAAGTAAGAATGAATATTTTGTGCTTTAATTGTTTAGATCAGTATGAATATTTAAGGAAAAATGGTGATTTGTGCACGACGAGTCGTACACGGTTTCAAGCGTGCTCAAAAGAGTGGTCTAATTTTCATAAATACAAAAGAACTCTATTTCCAATATCACAAATTATCAAAGCAACTAACAAACCACCATTTAAGGAATTTGACACAGTTGGAGTTGTAGCTGCAGTGTCAACTGAAGGTTGCTCTCAGAATTTATGGTTAGCTGATGAGTGTGGGAGGTTTTGTTCAGTGCGTGTTATTTTTGAACTAAGAGTTGTTTAATTTAATTTTTAGGTTATTGTTTGTGAAAGTGTTTGAAGGACCAAAAAACTGTCTTTTACTTGATAATTTAAAAATCGGGCAAGTGGTAGCAGCATCTAATTTGGTTTTTTGTGAATCAAAACTGGAGTTTGGGGAAGCCATTGCTAATCATTTGACTATAATTTCTTGTTATCCCAAAGCGAGACATTTGGAAGATGGAATTAGAGCCTTAAGCACTCAACTACCGAAGGTAATTTTTTAAATTTTGAATTCTGAAGCTAATACATAGTTTTTAGGACCTTAAGTTAATGTTGGCTGAATCTCAGCAAAAAATATCATACTATATTAATAAAGTCAACATCACAAGAGATTATAAAAATATGTCTTCAAGTTCTTTAGTTGCCCCCAATTCGTTTTTTACATCTGATATTTTTGATGACAGTTCAGATGTTTTATTTTCTATGATTGATGTGGACAGGGTTAAGTAACAAAGTGTTACATGTTTTTAAAACATTGTTGAAAAGGATATTTTAAGTTTGCTTTCGTTTCCAAGTTTTATTACCTGTGTTGTTAAAAAAATAAATATATTTATAGTTTTGTAGTTCCGTGTGTACCTGTTACGTAATGATAAATTTGAAGATTTTTGCTTTTAATGGCAAGGTGGGGAAAATTACTTAACTGCTTCATGCAATCATTCCAGTAAGGTAAGTTGTATTTTTTCCTTTGAAAGACAAGACTCGTCTTTATTTTTATTTAGGCAGAATAAATAGCTTGTTTTCTTTTACAGAAATCATGTTAGTTCTGAATAAATTTGACTGTCGCAATATATTTGGTATAAATATTTTTAAAATTTCTGTTGCGAACCATTTGAATTGAAAAAGTTATAACCATATGTGAAGGAATGACCACACTGTGAGATCCCGCGAAAAATCTACGTTGTGTTTTTGAAAAATGGTGGGATGCGTTCAGATGCAAATGGTGGACCCCAAGGTTGAAAAAGTACCGCTAAATAAAACACAAAATTTATGGAGGACACAAAATTATTTATTCCTCCACTGACAAAAAAAAAAGCTGCGATTAAGTTGCGCAGGTTGAAGACCTTAATGCTCCGCTCCAGAAAAAAAACTTTGAATGACTTGGAATGAAATCAAATTAAACGTTCTGAATCAATGCAAATATTTGAATATCACAAATTTAATAAAAGCAAATCAAAATCTGGAGTAAAGTAACTGGATGCAAATATACAAGTTACTACAGACGTGTGACGGCAAATTTAAACACAAGTTTGGGGCTCTCGGTCGTGGCTGTTCTCCCCCGTGACGGTGAATCCATCTATCGCAAGCACTACGGCTCAGCACCTCTCTATCTAACGAAGAGACGTATGGCGCTACCCAAGCCGTTACGGTCGCAAACTCGTGGTTGGAAGTCACGGCTATAAATACGCTGACAGCGTCACGTCATCCAGACCGTTCCCCTGACTCTATACAAAGCCTGTATCCTTTATGCAGATGGCGCGATAAATCCCGCTAGCTCGACTAGGAACCGCGCCCTCTGCTTCTGCTACGTGTTTCGGTGTTATTTAATCTCAATTCCATTTTAAATGTTCAATTTCTATGACCCTGTGATAATCCAAACTTTCCGCCTTTAATTAACACTTGAAAAAGTTTGAGAGGCTGTGATCGTCTAACAAAATGGAAACCTACGTCGTATTTTTTTTTTTTTTGAAAAGTGACTCGCACCCCTCCCTAGTAGGAAAAGAAGCGACGAGCGAAGGTGACTCGGACGTGCCCTTCTGGCGGCCCAGGAGGGCCGGGTCGCCATCGCTCTTCATCTCCAAAAACCCCCTAGGGTTTTATTCACCCACATATTACATGTCAAATGAAACACCTTAAAATTATGAATGAAAAGACACTCACGAATTGACAGACGTACACATATGGGAAACCGAGCGAGTACAAAAACCCTACGTTTATGTTTTGAATCAATGCAAACATTTGAATATCACAAATTTAATAGAAACAAAGCAAAATCTGAATTAAAGTAACTGGATGCAAATACACAAGTTATTACGGGCGTGTGGCGACAGATTTAAAGTTACGGCAGGAACACAACAAAAATACCCCTGGGGCGTATAAGCGGAGTTTGGGGCTCCCGGCCGGGGCCGTTCTCCCCCGCGACGGTCATTCTATCTATCGTAAGCCTACCGCAAAGCATATCTCCATTACGAACATACCGCACTAACCAGGCCGTTACGGTCTAAAACTAGAGATCGGAAGTCACGGCTATAAACAAGTTGACAACGTCTCATCGTCCAGACTGTTCATACTGAATCTATTTAAAGCCTGCACCCCTTGTGCAGATGGCGCGATAATCCCGCTAGCCCCCACTAGAAGCCGCGCCCTACGCTTCTGCTACGTATTTCAGTGTTATTTAAACTCAGTTCCATTTTAAATGTTCAATTTCTTGTGACTCTAATATTATCGACAACTGAACAAGTGTTAAAGTTTCAAAGAGCAATAAACGACATTTAAATTCGCCATACAATCTTGTGAAATTTTACACAACAAATAAAATATCCAGTCATCGTTGCGAGGAAAAAGCGTCTCGATGATGTAAATTTTAACGTTGCGAGGAAATGCCTCGATGATGTAAATTTTAACGTTGCGAGGAAAAAGCGTCTCGGTGGTGTAATCAATCTTTAGCGTGGCGAGGACATGCCTCAGTGATGTAATCAATCTTTAGCGTTGCGAGGGCATGCCTCGATGAAGTAATCAATCTTTAGCGTTGTGAGGACATGCCTCGATGATGTAATCAATCTTTAGCCTTGTGAGGGCATGCCTCAGTGATGTAATCATGATAACGATGATGACCGCCTAAGAGAAGACATTATTTTAACCTCCCGCCAGTTCTCAGTATAATGAATTTTGCTAATTTAAATGTGTGAAATAAACTTGTGCAGATAAAATATTGCGTGAGATTAGAAACTGCAGAGCATGAAAGTTTACGTTCAATTTAAATGAACTATTAGCAGTCTTGTGTGAAGAATTAAGAAGTGTTATGTAACACTTACGTATGTGCATCCAGAAACTTATTTATAACTTGTTAAATAAAGAATTGTTATCCTGAGTAAAGTGAATTTCATGAAATCTTCTAGCAAGTGGTTTATTTAAATAATCCTGATTGTTAAATTGTGTTAGCACTAGCTGACGATAAAAAAAACTACCTTGATTGGTGAATTTACAAACAATAAAACAAATTTAGACCGCGTAGTTCACGTTGAACGAAAGTTTGCACTTTTTCCGATTAAAAGGCCGCAAGAATTAGCCGCGCGGTTTGGGGAAACTGGGCGCCATCGGCGTTACGATTAATTGTCGTTAAACAAAGGCTTCCTCCCTTTTATTAACAACCGAACGAACTAATTTTAACGTAGCTGCTTACTGTTTACCATGCGTCCACTACACCGAACAGAAACGTAATGACGCTCTCCTTTACCAACCCGACTACCGCCCTCTAAATAAAACATCTAGAGCTACCCCTAAGTTTAACGATTTTTTGATTGAATTTTTTTTCTTTCAAATTCAAATTATTCAAATGTGATTTCGCGCCGCTGTTAATTAATTTCAGCGTGAAAATTTGATTCAAATTCGGTCACTACAACTCTGATAATTAAGTGTTAAAATTTCAAAAAGAACAATAAATAACATTTAAATTCGGCATACAATCTTGTCAAATTGTAAACAGCAAATAATTCTTATTTGAGATTAAGATTGGACATCAGATAATTTATGATGGAAACATTCATCAACAAGATATTTACAAAACAAAAAAAACTAGCAAAGATTTATAAAAACAAAAGATCTGGTGTGAAATAAACTTGTGCAGATAAAATATTGCGTGAGGTTAGAAACTACAGAGCATGAAAGTTTACGTTCAATTGAAATTGTTTGAGGTGAAAATTGCAAAGCCAACAAAATTTACATGAGATTAATACTTGCCACATTTTATCAACGATTCAAACATAGAATTTACATTATGTTAAATTATGTCGTAATCCAATTGATTGGTTACTTATTTAAAAACAATTAGCTTTGAGAGTTTATAATATCGTGAACTGTTTACCTCAAACAGAACACATAACAAATAAACACAAAAATATCCAGTCAGCGTTGCGAGTTGCGAGTCTCGTTAGTGATGTAATTTTTGGCGTTGCGAGGAAATGCCTCGGCGGTGTAATTTTTAGCGTTGCGAGGAAATGCCTCGGTTTTGCAATTTTTAGCGTTGCGAGGAAGTGCCTCGGTGATGTAGGTAATGTTTAACGTTGCGAGGAAATGTCTCGGTGATGTAATCTTCAACGTTGCGAGGAAATGCTTCGGTGATGTAATCAATCTTTAACGTTGCGAGGAAATGCCTCGGTGACGTAATGATGATGGGTGAATTTACAAGCCGTCGGTCGGTCGAAAATTAGCATTTTTTCCGATTAGAAAGGCGCAAGAATTAGTTGTACGTGTTGGGGAAAACTGGGCGCCGTCGGCGTTACGATTAATTTTCGTTAAACAAAGGCTTCCTCCCTTTTATTAACTACCAAATTAACTAATTTAACCTAACTAACTTACAGCGTCTTTTCACCATGATCCCACACAAGAAACCAAAACAATAATGACGCTTTCATCATGCTCTCGCTATGCCATCATCTTGTCTACTCGTACCGCCCTCTAACTAAAAATCCCCTAGCGAGCTACCAACTACCCCCAAGCGCTAACGGCTAACGTGCACATGGTTGTCTATGTTTAACGATTTTTTTTGATTTTTTTTTCAAATTCAAATTATTCAAATGTGATTTTGCACCGCTGTTAATTAATTTCAGCGCGAAAATTTGGTTCAAATTCGGTTACTACAACCTGTGCCACAACACCCCCGTAATTGTTCGTGTCTCGTCGGTTCTAAAAATAGGATTAATGAAACAGGGAGGTTCAGATTAGTGTATTAAGTAATACAATTATTATATGGATCATCCAAGGTTTAATTTTTTTTTTTGTTTTCCATTAAAGGCATTTATTATTATTATTTTTAACACGTGTTTACATTAGCACAGCCACAGCAAAATAAGCCAAAAATAGGAAGTGAAGGGCCTTCCAAAAATCTACCTGCCTGTATTACCAATCCCGAACTACCAACCTATCCTATAGGGTGGCCTGTTGCCAATTCCCTAAACGTTAAAACATGGGTGATTGTCTTACGTTATTGAAATGATTTTTATTTCTTTTCAAATGCGGTTTTAAAATTAAAGTACGAAACTGATGCCACCTTGAACAAAGAATATTCATTTATTCTTAATCTGCAACAACACGTGACCCAATCGACGTATCAGTATGTCACTTATCATTAAAATATGATTTTGGCAATTTTATTATTTTATTATGATAGCCCCTGTAGGTCAAGATAAAACTTTTGGATTATTAAAATTACGGGTATTATAAAGGAGCATGCTGTACTGTGTTTCTAGTGAGATTTTCTTCATACAATTTTTTGGTTACGTCATCGATTTTGTAGAAGAAATAAATATACCAATATGGATAAGTAAAATGTAATATTAATAACAGTTACAACAATGTATTTCTAGATGCTATTTTTTTATTTAATCGATAAAATAAATTATCAGTTCTAAAATACAGGAATGTACAACAAAAAAAAACAACAGTTACAGAAGCATGTGTTTCTGGATATTCCAGAGAAGATTGCCCTCCCAGAAATTTAGGATAACGTAATCAACGTTTTGTGAAAAAAATTTCAGAGAAATTCGTTTTGTAATTTCTAAAATAAATTATTGATTATACAGCCCTGGGAATGTTTGGCGGATCGTACAAAAGTGGGTAAATGTTATTGATTTGAATCTCTGAATTTATCAAACATATATAGGTACTTCGAAAGAATCCGACTATATTTCCGGAGGCATCCGTTATATACAACACGCAGCGTATATTGCAGAAACATTTTTGTAATGTAATTGTGATTTAAACTAAATGCGGATTCATAAACTACAAGTGTAGGAGTATATGGTTTTATAAAATATAAAAAATCACGTTGTTAATGGGGATGATTAGACAAATTTTGATTAGAGTTTAATCATCTACATGATATTCATAATATACAGGGTTAGTCACGAGAGAATTACTTCTGAAAATTATTTTTACGCAACCCAAAATACGAATACCATGTACCACTTGATACTAACTGAATTTAAAATGTAATGCTTAATCCATGATTGCTTTGAGTTTGGCAGTCTCATTTTGACAATTGTGGAAAAGGAGGTTACACGAGTGTCCATGATGGTACCGCAGCCAGTCGGAAATCTCCTCCGGTGCCGCTAATAAATTTGTCAGTGTGCCTTTTGATCTTTTGCAACCGATTAATCACGAGAAAATTATTTCTAAAAATTCCTTTTACGGCATTTTATTCAAAGGTTACAACAGAAACTCAAACAAGTAAGTAAATAATTTAACTACTAATCTGTTGAAAATGCTGGGCATTTTGTGGGAATGCTACGGCTTTTCTGTAAATGGATGGCCGAAGAAGTCCAGAGGTTGCAGATTTGCACTTCGAAGAGGCTCTAGGTGACGCAGAGATGGCGAATTAACACATGCACATTAGCGGCGAACAACATTGGTAGAGCACTTACGGCTTCAGTATAGCCCAGATTGATCTGACTGTATGTCGTCGATCCAGTGGGGCTCTATAGGCGAGTCAACGATGAAAAAAAATGTTAAAAATTAATTAACGTCAAAGTGACACTGCCAAAGTCAAAGCAATCATGGATTAGGCATTTCATTTTAAATTTAGATAATATCAAGTGGTACAGGGTATTAGTATTTTGGGTTGCGTAAAAATAATTTTCAGAAGTAATTCTCTCGTGACTAACCCTGTATGTACCTACATACAAAATTTGGCAACAATCGGTCCGGTAGTTTCGGAGATTACATGTCTAATAAAAATGGATAGATACAGGCGCCAGACGGACAAACATAATATGTATTTTAGAGTTTAGACTGTACTCTATATAGCTAAAAGTAAATTTGAATAAATTATAGTGTTATCTACATCACGTTCCGACTTTAGAAACATTATCAGGCAAAGGTTTACGGAAGTTTTATCAAAATAATTATTATTATTGATTTAGAATAGTGTTTTTTGGGTTGCATATATCGAGGACCGCACGAGGTAATATTCTGATTATGTTTATGCGAACATGTGACTTTGACAGATTTATAGTTCTACTCATAGGTTCTACTTAAATCATTATTTATAGTTTTTGAACATCCTATACAGTGTAATTTAGCCAACACCGCACAAACCGTAGCTGTTGTTAACAGATTTATTACATATTGTTTGCTTATTTCCACTCTCGAGGTCATTTGAAATTGTTATGCGATTAACAAGTAATTGTAGAGATTAGATAAATGAGTCCAAGTACAAGGTGTAGACTTTCTACGATCAAATCGACATTTACAAAGTCGTGAAGAAGAGTTCAAATCGATACAATCGTCAAACTAAAATGGCAGAAAATCAGAGTCCGAGAGTTCTGTCAGTCCAAAGTCACGTAGTCTCAGGTTACGTTGGCAATAAAAGTGCAACATTCCCTTTACAACTGCTGGGTTTTGAAGTAGATGCCATAAATTCCGTGCAGTTTTGTAATCACACAGGATATAAAGCAGTAACAGGGCAAGTGTTAACAGAAAAGGATTTGGATGATTTAGCCAAGGGCCTCGAAGAAAATGGGTTGGATTTTTATTCTCATTTACTTACAGGGTATATTGGAGCAGAATCGTTTCTCCAGCGGGTCTGCTCATTAGTTAAGCACTTGAAAACTGTTAATCCTAAACTTACTTATGTGTGTGACCCAGTTATGGGTGACAATGGAAAAATGTATGTACCAAAGGAGCTCTTACCTGTTTATAAAAACTCAGTACTGCCATTAGCTGATATTATAACTCCAAATCAGTTTGAAGTGGAGCTTTTAACAGATATTAAAATAAATAGTGTCGATGATGCATGGAAAGCTATCGATGTTCTTCACAGCAAGGGATGTCCAATTGTGGTTCTTTCCTCAACAGAGTTAGGAACCGAACAATCATTACTAGCTATAGCGAGCAAGAAAGTTGGTTCGAATAGCGAAAAAGTGACAATAAAAATTCCTAAATTGCCTGCTTCATTTACTGGAACTGGAGATTTATTTGCTGCGTTGTTACTGGCGTGGATGCATAAAACCAACAGTCAGCTTAAAGTGTCGCTTGAAAGGACTGTTTCATCATTACAGGCAGTTTTAAAGCGGACCTTAGAGGACAGTAAGGGAGAAAGAACATCAAAAGCCATGGAACTAAAGTTAATCCAAAGTAAAAGTGATATTGAGAGTCCAAAGATAGTAGTTTCTGCTGAAAGTGTTTTTTAGCCAAGGTAGTCACTACTTGAATTTTATCGAAGTCTTCCATGTTTGGTACAGATGATTACAATACTTTACATATTGTAAATATTTTGTGTTACTTACGATTTGTTTATAACGTGATCAAAATATTTTTAAAATAATGTTTATATATATTGTGACATAAGTTGTTTTTATTATTTGAATTTACGAACTATAAAATGTTACTAGAATGATTTGTATTTATTCTTTTTAAAAATATTCCTTTTTGAAAATTTTCAAAAAAGCTAATTGTGTATTGGGTACGGTGAAATGTGCGCGTGTTATGTCAGGATTCGAATGCAACGTGCACAGGCCCTGTGGCGCAACGGATAACGCGTCTGACTACGGATCAGAAGATTCCAGGTTCGAATCCTGGCAGGGTCGCACCTTTTTTTTCATATTTTAACATACAGTATGGTGAAATTATAATTTATTTATCAAAAAGTAGTTTTTGTGCAACTGTAATTTGTTACATTATCTTATCTTACAATGACTTACAGTTTTACTGCAATTGTAGTTTACGTAATAGAGATACCTATTAACAGAGTTAAATTATGTTGAAATAAGTAACTACTTACTTATTAGTGTAATCTCTAGTTTATTGCAGTGGGCAATATTCAAATGTAAAGATGATAACCGGTGGAAAATACCTACTTATCTGGTGCTACTAACATTGCGAAATGGTAGGAAATATGGTAGGTCCAGTTCATTTAAAAATTATCTGGGAGTGTCATGAAGTTCCACGAACAAGTTCTACACAAAATTTGTACATAATTACGGTTTAAACAATGTTTGACTTAGTTGTTTCATCACTGTGTCAAAGCGAAGATGAAATTCGGAATAGAGCTTTACATTATTTTTGGGCAAAACTAATGACATTAAAAATGTGATTAAATAGGATGTTTAAAAAATAAACATTTGTATCAATTTATTTAATTTTATCGGTTTCAGGATGTAAAATGTCCTTAACATTCACAAAAGTGGATTTGCAATGCACCCTATAGCTTTATTTGTAACGTAAAATGGCATCTTGTATTGTAATATTTTCACATTACACGAAAAGGAATTACTTGATGAACCTTTATTATCAAAATTATAAGTATAATAGCAATATACAAAAACAAACTACTAATTCTACTTTCCATTCAGAATTATTTACTCCTATACTCACCATGCAATTAGAACAACCTGAAAAATAAGCTTTAGTTATTTCTTCGGTTTCGGTCTTTTGTTTATGGCAAATTCATTATTATGAGTGCTAATATTAACGTTCTTTTCCATTGTTAAATTATAATAATTATTTTCTGTCGTAGACGAACAGGGTTCACAGTCAACTATTTTTTTGACAACGTTGATCTTATGTTGCACTGATTCTTCCACATATGATTCAGCGATAGTAGAACTTTTCCACCCACCCAATCTTTTCAGACCAGTGATATTGTCACCTTTATGGGCCAAAACTGTTGCTGAACTACGTTGAAGTCCCAAAAGCGTTGCAAGTAATTTGGGAAGCGAAGAAATCTGATGTATGCCCACTCTCTGAGTACTACATTTTCCACGATTATAGAAAACAAAAAAGTTATCATGTTGAGTGTGCTTCGGTCCCAAATTTTTATATTGAATCACAATACCAATATAATTAACTGAATCCTCAGGGACAACAGTAAAAAATCGGAGTTTATAAGTTTTTGTCTGATAAATTGTCACTATTAAGCAGTGTTGCGCAGTATCTAGATACTTGTATCTAAATAAAGTATCTAGATACATTTTTGGGTATCTAGTATCTGTATCTAGATAAAATCGAATTTAAAAACAAAATATCTGTATCTAGATACAAAATTAATGGCGAAGATACAGATACATTTTTTTATTTCACTTTTTTTTAGTAGTTATTAGTTGAGTTATACTAGTAGTAATTTTTTATACTTCATGTTGGTGATTTTGGTCACATATACAAAAAAAGAGGTAAGAGGTCCACTAATAGTGTTCTCACGGAAATTTTCATATTTTAAATACCATCATTTCCTACATTGTAGCCTTCAGTACTTATACATCTTTAAATATAATCCTGAGGGGTAATAAATCTAAGCCATGGTAAGACGATATTTTAAAAACCATAAACCACAATTCACTATTCACTGCGTTTTACGCTTATCGGGGCAATGGATTTTATCTGCGTACCTGAGCAACCCGGGTCCGGTAGGCCTGCTGATTGTATTTGTGTTATTAAATAAGAGTAATTTTAATAGTAAAAATATTTATTTAAGGTATGTTATTATTTTTAGAAAATAATAATTGCGTGTTACATAATGATTAATTTTTTCAGTTAGCACAAATTAGTTCTGTAATCGACTAAACGAATGTTCAATACATACATTTCTCTCGCATAAATCGCATATTTGTTACTGTTTTATACCTTTATTTTTCAGACAAATCTAGCATCTTTTCCTGTTGCCACATGTGTCATTTCTTTACTTTTTCATTGTTGGACCTAACGCGAGGCGGACTTGGCAGGTCCGTTTTGCCCTAGAATGTGCCGATTATGTTTAAGCGTAAATCTTGGGCAATAAAATTAATATTTTTACAACCCTCGGTAGAATAATTTATCGTGATATATTCTCAGAAATCGTGAAACGAGATTAAAATAAAATGAGTTTCAACAAAAATCTGAAAATTTAAAGTTGCACTCTGGTGATTCCGGCCTGCCTGGCAACCTTTGATCCTATAAGGGGTTTAAATACCTCCCTAAGAAGTTGTACTTATTTTGCCTTAAACGGAACCAGCAATTCTTCCTAAAATGTATATACCTGCCGCACCGGGATAGACGATTACCGGACATGGTCATAAAAACATCGTAAGCCGATATTGAAGAATAATAATTTATGACAGGTTGCTGACAACAGACCTCTACAGCACAGAATAATCATTTCCCGTATTCTTTTGAAATATTAATTCTAATGCTGGAGATAATTATTAGATATACTCAAACACAAATTGGACACTGTAGTATGGGAATAAAAACAAAAAAAATATTCTTTTTAAGCGTACGTAATAAATATTGCACAATTTGCGACACATCAAACAGCGAAGTGATGGCCTATTTGCAGGAAAAAAGAAAAGATTTTTCAGTCTTGAATAACTATGCTACAGTAAAATGTTTATTGTTTAAATTTAATACCACAATCCCTTCTTCTGCACCTGTGGAACGGGTGTTTAGTAGCGGAAACCAAATTCTGACACCAAGAAGAAATAATTTTTGTGACAATACGTTCGAAATGTTGTTAATTTTAAAAAATTCATTAACCAATACATAAAAAAATACATAAACATGTTTTCAGTTATTTTATTCGCCAAAGCTTCAAAAAGTATCTGTTTTCTTGTATCTGTATCTAGATATATTTCGAAAATATCGAAAACAATCTGTATCTAGATACTTTTAAAAGTATCTGTCCCCAACACTGCAGACCATGGATTATGAGTATGACCCATAACAGCCTTAGATGTTATTGTTCTCATAAATGGTTTAATAAATTTGTCTATATATCTCAAAATTAATATGGTTGTTCTCAGAAAAAATAGAATACTATTTTAACTGTGATTTATTGACATGTTACACTTTATTTTTGATATTGTTAACTAACAGTACCAACCAAATTAACTTGAAGAAACCGATTTGTAAAGTGGAGAAATTAACAACAATATTTCTCTGACTATTATTTATTCTGTAGTAGTGATCCCTATTTTACAAACCAAAGAACCTAACCAGTTATGCTCATATTTAAAACAATAAGCAAATCCTTTTTAGTTTTGTTCTTTTAAAGATATTTATTTACAAAATTTAACACTGTATTAAGAAGCGAATTTGCGTACAATATGCGGCGAATTAAATATTCCGCTTATTATTGTTACGATGAACGGGTATTTAAAATCGGCGTGGGTTAAACTCGACAATTTATTTCTTTGTAACTCAAAATCATACGACTAATCACACAACGATTATGTACAAAAATAATTCCGGCGCAACTTGTCTGGATTTTCTCGACACTTTACACTAGGTGTAAATAGAGGCCACCGTCGGGAACGAAGATTACTCAGTCATTAAGTCGAGTCCAGCAAAATTTTTGTGTTGGCAATTCTGAATTGTTGGCATCCGTGCTAGTAGGTCAGTTCACAGTTGTCAATTTTGACGCCAAACAAACGTGTTAATTGGTTGAGACGATGGCAGCTGTCATAAAGATCGCCTTGACAATCAGGTATCCCATCATAAAATTTTAAATAGGTTGCCAGTTTAACAAAAAAAAATCACAAACATTAATAGTCACTGGCTATTAGTTTATACATACTAGTTATTTTCGTTTTAAGGCTAAAGAGTATCTTTTTTGTGACAAAAAAAAACAACTTTGTCATGACTTTGTCACTTTATAGTTATAATTTTCAACACAATTTCGCAATTCGAATTTATAAGTTTCCCCGCAGTTACAACTAGGATTACGTGAAGTCATCTAGCACGAAAATATTTTTTCGAAAATATTTTTAAAACAAAAATTGATGTTTTCAAATGGCTGCTGATTTAAAAACAGTATAATCATTACAGGTATCTCATAATTTTTTGGTTGTTTCAAAAACTGTTATAGAAACTTACCTATTGTAATTGACTAAACTCTGAATAATTTAATTAAGAACATTTTTTTTACAATGTTTTATCAATTCCTTTCTATTTTCATACGTTTCATACGTTTTACAATTATTAAGACCCACCACTGACCCGGAAATGACCGGCATTCAGGCAAGACTTCTATCATTACGGGTATTAAGACCAAGTAATGATATGCATTGATTGGATTAACAAAACAACTTTCGAGATTTTAGAATTACAGCATACAAATTAGTCTGCTATTATTTTCTAATCTCACCCCATCCCCAAAAGTCTAGCGTAACTACCGATCATTTATCTGCGCATCACTTGGAAAGTGACCTATACTACTCTGACCTACTGGTGTTAATCTAATCTGACTGACATGATCAGACTGTTCAAGAAACTTACGAACAATATGACATGTTCCTAATAAAACAGCTTTTTGAATTTTGACAATTATTGATTCATTCAAATGCAAAGACTTTAAATTCTCAACTAAGCTATTTGGGACTACACCTACATTAGAGATAACTAAGGGTAGAATTGAAATTTTTT